CCCCCCCCCCCCCCCCACACACAATGCCTCGTTCCTTCCATGCCCTCATGGCATTTCTCTTTTACAGCAATGTAACCATCACAAGATAGGTAAAAGATACTTATTGGCTGTTTCATCACCGGATGCCAAAAACCCCTACTGCCCCCTCCCCCCATCCTGAAAAACAAAAAACCTGTATCAGGCAGTTTTAACACCACTGGCAAATTGTATTCAATAGAGAGTGGATCACTGCTTGAAAGGTGTGCTATGCCAAAAAATGTCAACAAAATTACAGCACATCTGAGTGTTGGTTCGGCTCTACCTGGCGAATCAGAAAAAAATTACGAAACAGGATCAGGCAAGATCCCAACTTAAAAAGTACAACTAGGCACAAGATAGAGACAGTGCTGACAAAGGCATTTGAAATCTCCCGCGCCATACACATCATCTCAATCTAAATTATGACTTGCGAAATGACATCAGATGCTGAACAAAGGATACCTGTGAAGGTCATCAAGAAATGGACATTGTCAGGAGAACCCTACCATATAAATTAGATATATGGAATCTTCAAAGCCTTCAGAAAGCCACAGAGTCCAGACGGTTTGATTAACTAAATGATTCACAGAGCTGTTGAGAGGCTAGCTGCTGATTTGTGGACCATGTGGCCTATTGCGCAACTGACGCATACCAAGTCACTGAAAAACTTCCTTCCACTCCAAGTTATCGCAACCACCACTGTTAACTTAGAGAATCTGTAGAAGTGAGGAATGTTAACTGAATGGTGAAAAAAGACATGAATGGATTGAGGGGGTATCAAACTCCTGGGAGATATTGTGAAATGCGTCAGCACATGCTCAAGGTAACAGGGCAGAAATGTAGGCTTTTGCGAATGATGAGGATGCTTCGATGACAGTAATATTACGGAGGGAAATGCAGAGTTAGTAAACATATTGCACACAAGTTGAGGAAAGAATAAAGGCAAAGTTCCGAAAGCTCATGGGATCAGGTGCTAAAGCTCAGCCAAGAACTGACTTCCAAGCAAGAAAATGGGACAATGTAAATCAATTTAAGTATACTTACAATATACAAGCGTCATTGCCCTACTTTCAACGGTTGGGATCACTTATCACAGCGGAAGAACAATTTAGAAAGGCCGATTTCATGTTGAGGAAGCGAACATGACTCACATGTTTTCAATTTTTGCAACTTTGAGCTTTTGCTTTTCAGCTTTGTCAACGTTGCTCCAATTCTCAGAAGTTCAGCGACCATCAGAACGAGAATTCCCGCGTTTTTCCTATTGGCGCGATATTTGAAATGACGCTCTCTCCGCCTGGACGGACATCGTTTCAAAATTACAGAAACATACTTTTTCGATATGTGGCTTACGATTTGATTTTTAGTATTTTATTATACCTGCCGACTGTACGAAGGGAAAGCGAATGCTCTTGGAGTTCCCTTTTGTTCTTACAGAGGTTCGGTGTGAACTTGAGGTGGTACGGGACAACCGAACTTCAAATGAAACATGGTTGGAATTCGACGTTAACTAGGTCATTTTTATTACTCTGTAACAAGCGGATAACCTGGCTTCAGGTCTGAAAGTTGGAGGGCGACCCCGAGTAAAATTTAGTATTTCAAAATTTCGATTCAACTGATTTTCCAAAGATTTTGGCCACAAACCCTATCAACATCCAAAATGACTTTAAAATACTCAATTACTTTTGCATATCATCCAAAACAATTTTTCAAAGTTCTTTAAGATAGTATTTTAGAGTGAGTTGCTGCCAACATTTTCAAATTTGAAATTTCCAAAAAAATTTTTAATACGATCGCAAAAAAACAGAAAACAATTAAATTTTTTTCTCTAAGTAATTGGCCGCTACGTGTCAAAGTTTTGATTGCCCTTTTTCAGGGCGAAGGGTCAATAAAAGCTTAGGCAATTTTAGATTGAGCATTCTAGCAAACTTCTATTCTTTACAAATGTTTGAAGTTTTAAATTTTTTTCTCATTATTTGAGAGAAGACTCGTCGCCAGGTGCTTCACTGCACCCTGCTTAAATTTACAAGTCCATTTCGGAATTTTTACTCCTAATTAAGTAGATACTTATTAAGTGCCAACACCGTCAAAAGTAAAGAAGGTCCATTTCTGCACCGAAAATTTGATATAAATCGATGTTCTCAATGATTGCCTTTGACTACGAGACTTTCCAAAATATACAGCGAAACCTTAATAATAAGGATACTCAAAATTCAGTTTTGATTGCCACTTTCACGGCGAAGGGCCAATAAAAGCTTAGCAATTTTAGATCGATTATTCTGGCAAATTTATCTTTTTTACAAGTGTTCGAAGTTTTATTTATTTTTTTTTTTTCATTTTCTCAGGAGGCACGTGTGAATACTAGATACAATCTCTGGTATTTAATCTCTTAGGCATAAAAACCTAAAATTATCTCAATTTCTTTTCTGGAAAGAAAATATGAAGGGATTTGGAGGGATACAGATAAAGAATCTTCCCAAAAAATTGTCTGTAAGAGCTAATAGTGAACCATCTTAAAACATTTATGCAAATTTTAATACCGGACGCTTCATTTGTCCTCTGTAAAAGCCTTAAGTAGGTGATAATGGTAACTTGTCAACTGAGAAAGGCGCAAAACTTGTATCTTTAGTTTTCAATATTTTGAAAACCTGTTGGTGTTCTCCGTAAAGAAAAACCAATGAGTGTTATTCTTCAAAATTTGCACAGCATATTCGGCATAGGATGAGGGAAAATAAATTGTTCTAAGAATTAATGCCTGTCAGTATTCCCCAGAGGAAATAAAATATGATATAGATTCTGTGACATTGCAAATCTTGATACATGTTTGGGACTCTCACCATTGAAGGGGTGCTCTATCTTCACCGAGGATAACATTCAAAATTTGATTTTGGATAGGTGCTAGTTGCTTACTGCTTTGAATAGGACTTGAATATTACTGCTTGGAAAGAGAAAGTAAGTCAAAATAAAAACCAGGAAAACTGAGCAAAGTAGCGATTTATTGCAAGATGTTTGCCTTATTCAAAGTAAAGAGGATTCCAACCAGGTGAAGATTCAACTAGAATGTCAGTAAATAAAGTGATGAGATAATAATTCTCAAAAACAATTTTTATAAACAATCTTCAATGTTAGAAAGTCCCCCAATAACAGGTTCCTACATGAACCCTAAATAGAGTTTGTAAAAGCTAATTTTTAGTTTGAAATTTTTTGTTGAATCTTCGAGGGTTTACTTATTTACTGATGGCATACTGGTTTGATAAAATGTATTTTTTCTGACAGGAGCTGTTTAAAAAAAAATGATGATAAATAAAGGGAACAAAATACCCCAACAACACCATTTATCAGTTGATAGGGTAAGTTAAGTTTACCTTGTTTCTGTGGCAATGCCTTATTGTTTCCTGAATTTGAGAGACCTCCCCCCTCCCCCTTCGCATTATTGTTTTGGTAAAACACGTTATTTATGGTTTTAGATTAGAATTAGCATTGATTCAGGATCCTCAGTAGCCAACAGAGAGACTAAAAAAGAAAGAAAAACATTCAATCATTCTGTACAAGTTACAGAGAAGTAAGTCTGGGTGTCCCAAAGGGTCTATACCTTAGGGACAAGAGTGACGCAATTAAATTAATGCCTATTATAAGAGCTTAAGTCTAAAAACTCATGAGCGCTGGCTTTGGTTGATTGCACAGGACACTAAGCCTCATGAGTTTTTTTTACTTACACCCTTTCAGCATACACTCATTCAATTAATAGCAACACTTTTTTGCTATTCTTTTGGTGAGGTTAAGATCAGTTGCAAAGCATACATAACTTTTTGTCATCATTGTAGATGAACCGAATTCATGAATTTTGACGAATTGGAAATCTTGATGTTGTGAGGAATTTTAGAAACAGTGGTTTGTGGGACATAAGCAGTAATAATTTCTGATTTTTCGATTGACAAATCTTTCATACTGCAAGAGTTTGAGAGAAAGTTATCAAACTTCCATGTCTTGAAACTCACTCCATCTCCATTGTAATTGCACATTTTTCAACGTAGTTAATACAAAAATTATTTTCCGATTTGCATTACTGATGAGTGATGCAAGGTAGAGAAGATACTGATTATCTGTACAAACACAAAATTATCTTTTCACTTTCTCTATAGTTCGCTGAAAGATGGATGGTTAAAATTTCAGATACTGAGAACAAATTTCCAACACTCAGATTTTACTTTCGTTTTCAGCTTTGAACATGACGAGCAACGCAAGAACATTGGATCGGTCTCACCTTGAATTTTGCACAAAAAAAACAGTACTTATTTCATTCAATGCATGGATCATCTATACTTACAGAAAATTGACAGCCAGCAATATAAAAACTCAAATTTTTTGAAGGCATGAAACGGGATCCAACAAAATTTTGTGGATCGTTTAGAGAGAAAGTCTCGGCGATTTCAACAGAATTACACAAGGACACACAGATGGCAGTCTCATCTTTAGTGAAATTTTCACTTTTTATTTTGTGTAACTTCATTTCATCATTCATCTTCGGTAAAAAAAGAGAAAAAATTCATTATTGAGACTTAGGGCACCATAGATGTTCAGAGAGTAAGAACTGTTATCTGATATAAATTTGGATTAAAAGCGACTTAATAATTGAGTCTTTTAGTTCAAAGAACTTTAACAATGTAGTATTCAATTGAATTAAGGGTAAATTTAAAATTATAAAGAATTTTTTTATAAAATAACAATTATATACATAATTCATGACTAAAAATCAGTGAAATAATACAAATTATAGAAAAGTAGAAATTAGAATAAAAAAATAAATAATACTTATCATATATATATAAAAGAAGAAGAAATGCACATTAGTTAAGATCAACATTCTTTGTAGTTGGGATTCAGCTTACTGAGAATGCCAACGCCTTTTTCTAAGTATTCTGCTCGAGACATCCAAAAGTTATCTTTGTCCTTGGCGAGTTGAGCTAAGACTGCTCCACCCATGAAAACCATATCTTTCCGCCGAGGTGGATCCTCGACTCGAATTTTGAACTTGGAGATATTAGTTGTGTCATTTTTCAGCACCCTCTCGATGTACAACTGTTTAATCTCTCGCTCTAGCCGAGATGGAAGACCTGGATACATTGTAGAACCGCCTGATAATACTATGTGTTTGTAAAGTTCTGTTCGCATGTCAATGTCTGCAGACTGAATGGCACTAAACACAAGCTCGGCTATTCCTGAAAACAAAAAATAGTATTATTTCATAACCAGAGAGATAATTTATCTTGCAACGCAGAAAATTAAATATCGTGTGGGTTGCAGCCCTGGTCACCTGTCATGGTGCCTTCCAGCCCTTGCTCCTGATTGACTCTTGCCTGTTTACCTTTGTACCTGTCTGGGGTTGGGTCTACCTAGTTGCCCACCAGTTGCCCGTCAAGTATCTGCAGCATACAATTTTATTTCATATTTCATATGTGTTGCTCTTTCCACACAATGTACTAATCAGAACTGCTAATTAGGAATATAAGGCGCAATTGAAAATCCACCTGGAAACTTAAAATATCTTCTGAATCATGGTATAAGTACTTAGGGTTCTGTGAGGTTAGGATAGAAGCTAAGGCTTAGAACTTTCTGTACCCACGCTAATTCTTCTTCAATGTCTAAACAGTTACACAATCTTAGCAACACCTTATGGCGCTTACCAGATTTAGAATATTTGCTTTACGAATAATGACTTACCTTGACCTTCAACGTTGATCAAATGCGGTTGAAAGAGAACTTCTGGAGCTTCGAACCGCTCACCTCCGATTTTAATGACTCTACCATCGGGTAGAGTGTATGGTTCTACTAAAACTGTGGTTTCTAAAGCTAATTTCTTTTCAGTTTCAATATTGTAACCTATGTAACATAGTTTCTCCTTCATCATACGGACTGTTTCAAAGTCAGCGGAGTGATTAAATGCATAACCTGGAAGATAGAACAGAAAAGTTAGTACACTAAGATTGTATGATAAAACATGATCAAAATTATGCAAAAAAGTGTGAGAAAAATGCACAGTCTATTTCCAACATCATTTGGGACAAATACTGGTTGCACACAGTCAACTTCGATCAATTTTGATGGAAACTGTATGATTTCATGGAATGATCTACAGATTGAATGTAAGCTCGATTGAAAATCGATGAGGAAACTCCCAAACCACATATCTCGGTTTGCGAAATTGCACACTTCCTGTTATTTTTTATTTTTCGAAAAGAAAGTAACTCAACATTATTTTTTAAAAGCTTCCATGATTTTTCTTTTAGAAGCAACGAAAATTCTAAAAATACTAAATATAAAGGAATTATGTTGATTTGTTCTCCTTAAAAAAGTAATGCAGAAGCGGATATTTTAAGGCACCTCATACGAGGTACCAGGTTTGGTAGTTTGACCTAGGATACTGTTACTTGGCTGTTTCAAAACCTTCAAATTGATGGGAAGTTATTAAAGCTGAATCTTTTTTTGAGAAAAAATTGCCAAAATGTTAAGAATTATATCGGAAACCTTATCAATTGAGTAATAAAATATTCTTGTTGGTATTTTCATGAAGCTGGTATAATTTGGTTGCTCAAACAGAATTTGGTTTCAGTTTTTCCTCATTTTCTTTCAAAATCGCTCATGTTACATGAAAATAATGATATAATTGACCTTTCCACAGTTAACTTAGCAGCATTATCAAGTTTTTTGATGAGACTCATGGAACTTGACTTTCATTTTGTTTTGTTTGAAATTGAGTCACTGAGTGCGAGAAAGGCACTGCACTGTTGCAGTGTTTCAGGTTATCTGTTAATATTTCGTTCATTGTAAAGAAATTTGTGCGGTATTTTTATTATACATTCTCTATGATTCTCCAATGTCCTACAGGAAAAATCAACCATTCAATCATCCATCCATCCATTTCATCAGCCATTTTCTGCAAAAATCAATCATTGGATTCTTCTCTAAAAAATAAATTAACCATGTAGATTCTAAAATCCCGCAATTGAGAAGTGCTCTCCTCTGATCCCATGCCTCGATTTAGACTCGTGAATGACTGAGGTCAAGAATTGCGCTGAAATGGCTTACGGATGTTGATAGTCCTGAGTGGAATCACAAAAAATTTTCTGGGATGGCTTGAGGGGGATACATTGAATATCAACATAATTAGAGCCATGAATATTTGTTAGTAAACAAATCGATGGTGTAACTACCCGACCACGTATCTTTGTTCACAACATTGCAGACTTCCTGTCATACTTTATTTTTTAAATGGAAAACTACTCGACATCATTTCTTGAAAACTTCTATTATTGTCCTTATCTGTGCAGGGGAAATTTTGAGAACACTTCAAGGAATGATGTTCATTTGTTCTCCTAAAAAAATATAAGAGGAGAGGAGATTTTTAAACATCGAAAACGAGGTATGATGTTTGGCAGTTCCACCATCAAAATGTTTCACCCATCAGACTATAACCGTTGATGAGCAATGGGTAGACTTTAAACATTGGTATGAGTTGAGACTGCATTGATATTTACCTCTAAGTAAAAGGAGCTTGATTAGATACTTGGTAATATCTCGGCCAGCAACATCGAGTCGCCGAGTTAGATGGGGCAAAGCATATTCTTCATAAACAGGACAAATGTGTGTAACACCATCTCCTGAATCAACAACAACTCCACTTAAGAGTCCTTGAGCGTACAGTGTCAACATTGCTTGGATGGCAATATAGGCTCCTGCAAATTGATATTTCTCAAACATAATCTGAAAACAAAGAGTGATAATTAGCTAGATCTAGATATTAGATGATGATCATTATATTCAGTAGTTAATCTTGCAAAGTCGAACTGATTGATTGGACAGGGAAAATGCCATGTGTTTCATCCAAAATAATTATTAGAGTATAGACCAAAAAAATTTCAAAAAAATTATGGTTATTGCATTTAAATGAGCTGAATATTTCTCCAATTTTCTGCACAAAAATTTATAATGATCCTTTGATGGGATATAAAAAAGAAAGAAAAGAGAACAATATCTCAAGCAGAAATTTCTTTAACATCCCTCGATTTTTTCGAGTGATCTGAAAACAGTTTAAAGTAGCAGAACTACCCCAGATGGTCAAATATACTAGTATTTTGATAAGTAGTAGGTAGTATTTTGGAGGAGGGAGGGAAGTTGAGGCAGGGAAGAAAACGATTTCATCAATCCAGGGAAGAAAATGTTGGATGCTACAAATAATATAATCAATTAGCGCCTCAGATGACTTCATCAAATAGTGCATCTCCAGCCATTACCAATGCTACAGGGGCATATCGACGGTGAAACTATCAAACCACGTATCTCGGTTTGCGACGTCGCAGATTTCCTGTCATACTTTATTTTTTAAATGAAAAACTACTTAACATCCAGTCTTGAAAATTTCTGTGATTTTTCCTCTTTGTGCGGAGAAAATTCCGTGAAAATTTCAAGGAATGATATTGATTTGTTCTACTTCAAAAAAATAAAATGTGAGCGTAGATTTTTAAACACCGCAAACGAGATACGTGGTTTGGTAGTTTCACCGTCGATATGCTCCCCAACAAAGCATATCCCAAAAAGGCCCTCTTATGCACCAATCTTTTATGAGGCAATGATCAAGGGCTATTACTCGGACTGTCTTCAGATGCTTGTGGGTTGCATGCGTAAGCAAGGGCGTGTGGCCTGCCAATTCTTTGGAGCGTTGACAGGTTTTACCTGGAAAAATTCTAGGAAGCTAATTTTGATGTCAACTACATGGGAAAAAGCAATTTTTGAGATTTTCACTTACTTCGATCATTTTCTCTCTGTTTTTAATTGGGTTCATGGGAGGTTCTGTGAGAAGAATTTTGCATTCTTTCGGGTCAATATTCATTTTTTGAGGTCCGAATGTGTAGTCCCACACATGGCACATGTCTTCCCAATCTCTGTAAAGAAGATACGAAGTTAACTAATTAAGCAAAGAAAAAGAAAAGGACATATAGAATGGATGAACTAAATAAAATAACACACAAAATTGACACATTTCTATGCTTGATATTTTAGACAGACCTCGCTCTATTCTATTTCAGGCTGATAAATGACTTCAGCAATTTTAGCTCACACTTTAAATCAACTTTTGCAAAATATTTTGACACCTGATTTGATAAAGGGGCTACAAATTGAAATTTTATTTGCATCCGAGATAAATGGCAAATAAAATTATAAATATGATACGTATTAGTAACACAGCAAATTTTTTCGAGCCGAATTTAAAAAAAATGAATGAGCTCCTTTCACCTAGCACTTATAACAAAGCTGACCAACAAATTCAGATATGTCTTTAGTACAAATAGATGAATTAATTACTTCTTTATTGTGATACATTTGAGCGAGTTCACTCCTAACGTTGGACACCAGGAAACAAAAACTCACTTCTTCAACGTAGATGCCATGAAAAATTGCAATTAGAAATTGGTGTTTGAATCCAAAGAAAAGCCTCTAAGCATATGCTCATTTATTCTAGTTCACAATTTCAGTTTTCCGGAAAAATTGCATCAGTCTCATTAAATTTTTAACAATTTGAGATACAATGAAACATTAATTAGGGGTCAAATGCTTAAGTTACAAATCAAAGGCAACTTGAACCTTCAATATTGAACTGTTAAAAGGAGGAAATTTAGTGATGTACTTATTCTGTATTTCTTTGTAATTACCTATTTTTATTTTTCTGGTTTAATTCTTGGACTTTTCAAACAAAATTCATTCTTATGCTGTTCAATTATTTTTTTATTTCTTTTTTAAAGTGGTTTTGAGGGCAATCTATGGGGTTCTGCCTTCGGATTATGGTTGTTAACGTTTCAAGATTGAGAAAAATACATACCTCACACTTCCATTTTTCATGGGGTAGTTTATTTCAAGCATAGATCGAAGAGTGCTTGCTTCATCTCCAACCATTAAATCCTGCAATTATAGAAACGAGAAATAACTTTTTTGAGTCGCTCAATAGGATGAACTTAGTGGCAAACAAGACAAAGTTGTTACTTATTAATTTCAAATGTCATTAAGTACGTCATTAAGTCAGCAGAACGTTAAGTTTATTTGGTCTAATGTGAGTAAATGACACTCATTGGAAGGTAGTCATGCATTTATTAACGTTTTGAATGATGCTAATGAAATCTAAAAACCTTGATTACTAATGTGGCAAGAAAAAGAAATGAAAAAAAAAAAACTGAAAAGAAATAAAACAAACAAAAAGTACTCCATTCTTCAAAAGTACAATATGTTCCTTGTGCGTGATAATGTTTGCGGATTTTGAAAAAAAGCATTGGCGCAATATACAATAATCAGGAAGATTTGGCCTGGTATTGCTTGAACACTAAATAATGGCGAGTTGTTAAAGATGAGGGAAAACAAATGGCAGAGAAAAAAGTATAAAAAATCAAGTGAAGGTATTGATGAAAGAAGTTTTTTGGAGATAAGATGTGAAGAAACGTTAATAAAGGATTTCTTTAGAAAAAATCTCTATTTTTCATGAGAATTTCATAAAAGAATACCTGAAAAAAAGTCTTCATTGAAATGGAAAACAGAGAGGTAACTGAAAATATTAAATTTACAGAAACTCAAATACGTTGATAGTTTCCCTACATTTTTCAAAAACTCCACGGCATCTAGTTCATTGGAAACTGAACTTCCAGTGTTTTTGCCTTGAGATAAAGGGTTAAACCCGAGTTCATTCACTTTCTAAACAAAAAGTAGGCAACACCATACTTTTTTAGTTTTTTAAATAATTTGCAAAGGAGATGTGATGAATCAAACACCCTGTTATTTTTAATTAGTATCGTTGGTATCAGGTATCATCAGTAAGACTATCTGTAACATTATTTATTTTTATTGTTTGTTTTTTTTATTAACTAAAATCCTTTAGTTTCAAATTAGGATGGAGCACAAATAGACTGTCTGGGATAGGAATAAAAAAATTGTCAGGGATGCTTGAAAAACCTTCATACTAAGCTCCTAATTGGGTCAGGAACAGCTAACTTCAAAAGAACTAAACTTGAAGCTACAGGAAAAAATCATGTTACATCGGTGGAGAACTTACTGGTAGCTCCTATCAAGATGGATGCAAATAGCACATGAGAAAAAATCAACACATTAGAAGGGGTAAGAAAATGTACAGAAAGTTGGAGCAATTTTGGGATACCCAACTTAGAATTACTTCAAGATTATCATCCTGATTTTTTTTCTTTTTAACAGAAATCCCTTCCTCAAGAGGCAATGCAAGTAAAACTTGGAGTTGGTTGGTTCCCATACACTGATTGGAAAAAAAATGGAGGTTTCTCAGCAACTTCTTTTTTGAGCGATATAACTTTAAAAACCATTTGTTTGAAAATATACAATTACTTATATGAAAAGACTTCCCACAATCCTATATGATTAGGACTATTAGCTCCAAATTTTACCTTTCCTTTTTGGAAATTTAGATTTATTTTGTAGCCAAAATGCTATGAAAAAGATTCCTTTCATTCATCTCTCAGTTTGATTGAGTGATATAGGCCAGCAGATTATCATTTTCAATGTAAGACTAGAACGATGACAGCCATTAAAAAGAGAAATAATTATTGAACAAAGTTTTGACATATCGATTGCATAGCGTGTGGAAGAAAACTATGGTCAACAAGAGGCAGAAAGTTGTTATTGATTACTGGCAGAGACAAGCTAGTAGGAACCCTAAGTAGATGAGAATAAACACTCACGCAGAAAAATAAGAGGGAAAATGGGGAAAACCTTCACACAAAATTAATTGACATAATCTTACAGAATTTTGGTATAGCTTACTTTCACGACATAACCCTGAAATAGAAGATGAATTCAGTTACGTTAACCTGACGCAAGGCAAGTTTAAAAACTTGAAGTCAAAACTACAAGTACTTAAATTTTAAAGGAAAAAACATAAGCCTGATTCTCAGTTGGGAGTAGAATTATAATGTATTTGTAAAAATTTTACAAACCTCTGACAGTCTTACTCACACAACTTAATCTTCAATGAGCAGAGAAGACAAATGGCAGGCGTGAAACTAAGTAATAATCTTTCAATACAAAGTAACAAGGAATTGAAAGGAATGGGAGGAGGGCACACGGCTTGTGGCAAGCAGGCCCAGGTCAGATCTAATCACGTACAGGAAGTCAGGAGGAATAAGTTCCTAGATTGGTGTGAATCAACTAGAACCAGGTATCCATAATAGGGATGGACGAATATCAAATTCGAATGCGATTATTCGAATATCTGAATGCGATTATTCAAATACGATTATTCGAATATTTGAATTTGCCATTTTGAATACTTCGGAGGCGAATATTCGAATGTGATGCGATTATCTCGGTGCTGATAATTCAAATATCGAATATTCGAAAATCTAAACATTCGACCATCCCTAATCTATAATCCTTGTGCCCCCTTCTTATGTCTTAGCCCATTGAGTGGTCCATGATTAATTTTTCCTTCATATTGTTTTCCTTGTCGTGTAATTTCAACTGAGGAGATAGCTGGAGCACGTTAGAGAGGAGAATAATGCGGATAGTTACCTTAACTTCAATATCTCCTATTTTGTTAACAGCTCGAATTATGGGTCGGCCGACCATTGATGGAAATATATGGGCAGGAAAATCTGAGCCAGCATAGCCACACTTCACGAACTGTAAGTTAAAGTAGAAACAAAGATATAATGTCAGGTGAGAAATGATTAGGTAGGCTAAGAAAACCATGAGTTTAGGGGTAGCTAAATACTAATACCTACTATTTGCCTATTTGTACAGAATCTCTATGGGAAGCTGTAATGAGTAGATGGCTTAGCAATAATGATCATTTCATGCAAACCAAGAAGCAGATAAACTTGTTTCAATTTCAAAAGAATGAGACTTTCTAAGCTCTGATAAAGGCAACAGTCATCATTTCTTGTAATTGGATAGAATTTCTAAAAATGCAAATTTAAATTGAATACGGTGAACATTAATTCTCAAAAACTTAACAAAAGAATGAGGAAAGCTGAGCCTATCGTTGACATTATGGGTTTAAAACTTTCAGAGGAACCCAAGGGTGATGACAGCTTTTAGTCAACACTGAACTCAGATGACACTCATATTTAAATTCCTAAATATTAAGATAATTAGTTTTTTTTTTTTTTTTTTTTAAATAAATCAATAGAGGAACTAGCAAACCAAGCAACCCCCTTTGAAACATTGCAAACTTCTTGTCGTACTTTACAGTCTCAATTCTTAAAAGTTTCCGTAGCTATTCTTCCCAGTATGAGGAAAATTTTTAGAAAACCTCAAAGGAATGATGTTGATTACCCAAGTCTTTTCCAAACATAAGATGGGAGTGGAGAATTCTGAACACCACAAACCAGATACATTGTTCGGAAGTTTCATGATCTAAGTATACTGTTCCTTTAAAATGCAATATCTTGCTGTCCACTAGAGGTGCTATACTGAAACCTCAGTACTAGAAACTATTTCAGGAGATGAGGTTCTTCATGGTCTATTAAAGAGGTCACAATTCTTGGTAGAAGAAAGTGCTTGCTCTAATAAGGTCTTTCAGCACAGGCCTAACCTAACTTTGGTGTAATCAAACCTTACTATGAAAATATTGATCCTTATGACCGGCCCAATTTACCACAATGTATCAAGCAAGAGAAAATTTGCAATGTATTTGTGGGGATCAGGGTCAGAAAATTTGATTTAAAATATTACAAGAGACTGAAACATTAATGGAGATTATGCCTGAACGATTCTTCGGGCGTGTGTGATAAGACGTCCAAGGCTAATCCATAATATTGAGTGAAAAGGCATTACGCTCCAAGCTCTAGAGAATATTCTGGTGGAGACTCATCATTTCGGTCTAAAAAAATCATTAATAAAAATTGAAAAATGTTAAAGATTTTGAAAAAAGTATCCACAGAGTGTCGACGGATGACTCACGCCGATAAGGGGGAGATACGAAAAGATGAACTTACGCCGGTCCCGTTATCACAAACTATGACTTTTCTTCCTTGGCTATCCATATCGGAAAACAAAAATTAGAACACTATTTAAGGACACTCATGAACAAAGGGGAAAATTTAAAATGAATATTGAATATAATAATAAATTGAGCACAGGCGGGGGGCCCGATATATGTAAACCATGAAACTGATGAAACGCACAAATTGCACCGTTCAACATTCCCACCAATGTTGACATTTGCGGTGACGTCAGTCCTGCATCATCCCACTGCACGGCTGATTGCATGAACGCTGTTTTGAAGGAGTTTCTGCGCGGCGCGTCCTGAAAACGCTCCAAAATAAATGCAACAATGCTTTGCACTGGAGCTGGAAAGAGAAATTTCATGAAACATGAATCCCGTAAACATCGTCCCCCTATTTTAAGACCCATTTGTTCATTACTTTTAAGGTGTCAACAATTTTTTCCCCTTCTTTTTAATCTCTACAATTATTTAATTACTTAGTTCGGCATATCATTCAGTTGTACAACTAGCTTAATCACTTTTAGTGCGATTCGTTTGGCTTTCACCCGACACTAGTCCAACTGTTCCACAGTTTTTTGGCGCCCGATTCGAAATTTAAATTTTGGTGAAGTGTCCGGTTTTCTGCACCCGCCCTGTAACTTCTTTTTTGTATAATCCTTTCATTGCAGGTTTCCTCTGCACTTGACGTTTAAATTGTAATAGCAGATACCCATCATATTCCTAGGAATGGCAATTGTAAAGAAACCGCACCATCCTCTCTGTAATAACAAATTAACAAATCAACAAAGTCAACAAATTAATAATAAAAAAAAAAAAAAAAAAAAAAAAAAAAAAAAAAAAATTATAAATTCCAAGATTTTATTCTGGTTTGATGGGGTTGATAACAAAAGTGCGAAATTAAGTTTCTCCATAAGGGAGTTACAACATTTCTGTTTCTACTTAATTTTTTCAATTAGAAACAAGCAAATTTCATATCTTGAAGCTTATATAGAAACTTCAGCTAGTACAGAAGAAAATTTAAGGAAATTTCCAAAAACTTACGTTTCCCAGTTTCCCGAGGAAAAAATAAATTATGACGAAAAGTCTGCAATGTTGCAAACGGAACAGATATACGTGATTTCGCACTTTGACCATCAATATTCAACTATTCAAAGCGAAATCCCGCCTATATTTGACCTTGTTTTCGGTAAATTCAGCTGAGAGATGGGAGATGAGAGCCTTATACTTGGACTGAATCCTCCCGTATTTTATTTCTTGAGAACAACTGAAATTTAAAATAATACTGCCATACCACCGGGAAGCATGAACTTTCAGCTTCCTGACGGTAGGCATATTATGGCATTTATGGTAGGCATTAACAAGTCCCTGGTAAAAATTGGCGATAGGAGCTGCGTTTCAAAATACCATAGGAATTCTTATAGCCGGCTAAAGAGGGCAATAGAAAATCATATAGCTGGCTGTAGAAAGCGGAGCAAATCATATAGCCGGGCTATACGAAGCGATAAAAAAGTATGCAGCTGGGCTATAGTTCCTATCGCCGGGCTTTACACTTTATCGCCATCGGCTATAAAAGGCTATAAGAAATTGTGAAGAAATTCGTGTGCTTTGGAAATCACTAAGTTTGATACGGAGCCAACATAATATTCACAAAACACACATTATATTTTCCTTTAATACATATTTGTTTTCATCAATTAAAATGAGAATAATCCATACAGGATGTGCAAACATTTCAAAATCATGAGTTGAAAAACGCTGACTCCGCAAGATTATATTGGAGCATAACACAGAGCGGAGCGGCGCGGCGTGCTGCCAGCGATAAGCGCGCACTAGCGCCTACAAACCTAACTGGGATACTTTACGCATGGCGCAATGCGTGAAGTATCCCTGTTAGGTTTGTAGGCGCTGAGGCGCTTTTCGCGCTGGTTGCCCGCCCGCCGCGCCGCAGCGTGCCACGGCGCTTGAAGCAACTATTTCACACCAGAGGTATTGCACAGTATCATACGAAATTGAAGGCGCTCCAACATATTAGGAATGGCAGGCATCCTTCAAAAGTACGGAGCTTTCCGCGCAAAATAAATCAAGATACTACGGCCCAAAAATAGAGCGGTAGTCCAAAAACTCACTAAGTCCTAGCATCCGTAATTAGTAATATGTAGCATACACTTTATCGCCTGGCTGTTGCTCAATCGCCATCGGCTATAAAAGGCTATGAGAAATCGTGCAGCCGGCTATAGAAGCTATAGCAAATCTTACAGCCGGCTGTAGGTCTATGGTATTTTGGAACACGGATTCTACTGCCAATTTTTACCAGGGGTAAGCAATCAATGCATTTCTCGGAAGGTTGACATTGTTGCGATGAAAATTAGTAGTATATTACTTTATCGGCAGAGTAAGCGACGCAGGAATTAAGTTGAAATGTGGGTGAAGGAAGCAAAGTACCCTCAGTTTGTGTTGCATCTCATGAGCATCGAACGAATTTAATTTTAACGGCTGTAAGCAACTACTCGGGCTTCATGGATGTACGTGTTGCATATGCACACAATTAAAGGCGCTTTGACACTCACAGGCAATCACCGCTTCGGAGGTACCTATAGCTCTGCGAGGATTTTAAAGAACATGCACCTTTCAATTCTTCGTTTATAGTGCAAAGAGTAGTTTTATGGCCGGAGTGAGGGACCAAGTATTTCCGTTTGCAACATTGCAGAGTTCTTGTCATACTATATTTTTCCTACGAAAAACTTGTCAACGTAATTTCTTGAAAAATGCCTTGATTTTTCCTCTCCATTAAAATATTCCCCATAGATTTCAAGCTATAAGTTGCCTTGTTTCTGTTCGAAATAATATAATACAGGCGGAAATTTTGAAAGGTCCTTATAAAGATACGTGGATTCGCACTTTGACCATCGAGTTGCTCTACAAATGGACGTGTTTCTATCAGACGGAACTAAGCGCCATCGGGGGAGGAAGGGAGAGGGGGGCTTGGATTGGCGGGTGTTGCGGTACGGATGCTCGTTCCGTCCTATACTCTCAATGCTTTTCTGTGGCGCTTAGTTCCGTTTAACAGAAATACGTCCAAATCATGGTCAGCACATAGCGATATCAAAACGGAAGCACAAAAGATATTCACATCCTAAGCCCATGTGCAAGTATTCGTGCCAAAGTGATGCCTTTGTAGTATAAACGGATAATTGAAGGCGCTCATCTTTCATTTTAGTTGCTAGCAGTACAGCCCGCCACCGCGCTGCGGGTGATGCGGCGAGTGCCAGTGCCCGGAGAATTAAAACGCCTTCACTCCTACGCGTATGCAACACGGACACCCGTGGAGCCCGAATAGTTGCATCCAGGGGTCAACAAGAAATACGTTCAGTGTTCGTGACATGCTACACGAACTAAAGGCACTTCACTTGTACCACCTACACCTCAACCTAATTCCAGCGTTGCCTATTGAGCGGATCAAGTAAACTATACTGATTATTATCACGACATTGTCAATTTTCCGGACAAATTTTTTATTTTTTACATGCATTGCAACGTTGCCTCTATGAAATGTGGACTGCGGTCCCTGCAAGTATTGACGTAAGAAAAACATTCTTCGACTTGAGTCGTATGCATGTTTTTTGGAAGGATTACTGCATATTTTACCCTGGACCCCGATGGGTTCATGATCTATTTCAAAAGATCTTCACGGGATACGGTCCTTTAGGGAAACAAAAGTCACTAGTAGGCTCACACATTGTCCACTGAACGAACAAGAGCTTGGATTGAGATAAATGTAAATTTCCGAGTGGATAAATATTTGGTACATTTGTTGCCTATCCATCGAAATTGAAGGCGAACTTAAACTGGACGAACCCAGTGAACTTACTTCCTCTCGATAGAAGAAAAGAATAACGCCGTCGTGTCGGAAATGTTTGACACCTTCCTTCTTCATGATTCAGCTCTCTAGTTCCGCAGCTTTTTCTATCTTCTTCGTTTGTTATATACAAAATTAATTAGTTCGACGGTTTTGCCTTCTCTACTCTATTCCGCTGATACTTCACGTGTCAGAAACAAATGGTATGAATACCTAGATAAACGCACTTTAAAAGAAATCAGAGTGAACTAAGTGCAATCTGTCAATGTTTAACATTCAAATATTTTACCAACCTTAGGTTGAAACGCTTAAAATTTGATTTAAGAGGGGCTGGACATATACTTTTCGTGGGAGACCTTGCGATAGGTTGTTCCACGAGTTGCCCCCTCCCCTTAAAAAAAAAGAAAGAAAAAAAGAAGAAAAAAACAACTTTGCCAAAGGGCCCCCTTCAAGCTTTCTATCCGTCACTGTTTGGTACCTTTTTTAATTTATCATCAATTATAATTCTAAAATTATTTGTAGAAAATATAAAAAATTTGAGAGATAGTGCAACAAGTATTTTTCCTGACGGGATTATATATTGAGTTCCTGCAATACCAATGTAACATGTAATTTAATTATTTAATGAATGTTGAAAAAATACTAGGAAAGCATTATTTTCCGTCGTTCAACGTCCGCTGAACGAGTTAAACAACTTACTTCCTAGTTATACCATGTTACTTATGGAGGTGTATCGACATCACTAAACTGTAGGTAATTATAACGCGGATGCCTCAAAATGACAGCGGTGGCTCGTGCAGGCATTCAAAATCAATATTTGTTGTTTTAACACCTGTGATGGGGTCATTTTAGAGATCGTCACATGTCACAAACTTGAATGACAATGACATGGAAAAACACTCATCTCCATTCGCAATATCGGAAGTTTCCAATCAATTTTATTTTCGAGGGAGGAGACAAATCATAAATTGATCAGAATTATCTGGGATTTTCCTTTGTCTATTCATAAAAAGACAATTTAAAAAAAAATTGGGTTCTTCCATCTATTTATATTTTCTCCGAAGAGAGGAGTTACATAGTCGCAGAGCGCACCATAACAACTGTTTCAGATAGAAATTGCACAACTAAGTACATATCGATGACCAAAAACACGTATCTCCGTTTGCAACGTTGCAGACTTCCTGCCATTGTTTATGTTTTACCCAGTAATTAGTCAACGCAATCTTTTGAAAAATTCCTTGATTTTGCGACTCTGTTAGAGAAATATTCGGAATGAATATCAAGGCGAGCCATAAAGTAGGCGTGTTTCCCTCAGAAAAACTGAAATAGGGACGGAAATTTTGAAACACGGCAATCGAGATATGTAGTTTTGCACTTTGGCCATCAGATAATTTGATCAATCTGATCTATATCAGGATATCAGATTCTGCAAAAATGTTATCTGTTCAGTTTCCTCTTCCGAGCTTAGGAAGGACGCCATAATGAATCTTCAGGCGTTGCCCAATTCTCTTTGATAAAATACAAATTAACTGGGGAAGTTATGAGTATTTGTCTCCTAATTTTTCTGACAACTTTTATCGCACTTCAATGTAAAATACCAAAAAATTTTAAGGGGGAAAATGCATAACTTTTCTCAAAAATACATGTTTTATCCGGGGAAATTGGGCAACTCTCGAATGTAAAAACGGCGTCTTTCTATAGCACGGCAGGCCTGATCTCCTGTTTTTACTTTCTCGCTCGCCTCGCGGGCAGAGGAAGTATTCCAATTTTAATTTTTCCTTGATTAGACGATGGCCATTTCGGAAAAATCTGCCATCTTCGGGTCCTTTTTGATCACTCCTTTGCTAGGTTCTTGGGTACTTTAGTTTTCGAGAATCATTACAAAAGACATGAATCAATGGGTCAGTTGCGCTGGTCATAGAATCGTGTTTTGATGCTTGATTCTTGTTGATTAGCTAGAAATAATAAGATCTGTCGAAAGTGCAACTCTCTTTGTTCAATGCTAACGGAGATATTGCGCTTTGAAAAATTCGTCGAATGACGTCATCCACCGCGGTAGTGACACCATTGGTTTCTTTTTTCCACCTTCCTTTCATTTGTCAGGGAGTCGCGCATTTTCACTGGTTACTCCACGAGAAACCCGGCTGGAAACAAGGTAGAAGAAACCTCAGTGGCGTGGCGTGAATAATCGATTATCGATATCTCGCCATTTGAAACCATAGTAAAGAATCGATTACTAGGGTGTTCGCTGCGAACACCCTGATAATCGATCTTTTTTCATAGGTTTAAATGGCATAACAATCGATATATCGCAACTCACGGAAACCTAGGGTGTCACGTCCGCGTCATGGGCTGATTTTTTAATATCGCGATATCGCGGTCAAATATCAGATTAATATTGAACATAAAAAGTTGCTGATTTGGACTGATCTTGTTACTTTCAGCTGATTTACAAGAGTCAAGCAGCAAAACAAGATTCTGTGGCCAGGATAAATGACCCATAAAAAAAAGAAAAGAAAAAAAAAACGGGGAAAAAACACTATTCCTCGTAACGGTAACAATTTGCACATCTGAATCGCTATACAAGTTTCTGAGCATCCGTTGTCGTAGCCACAGGGGAAAAACTTGAAACTCGAATTTATCACAGCACGATATTATATGCAATCATACCGTCAAAACTTATATGATTTTAAATAACAAATTGAAATTTGCCTCTGGCTGGGATAGAGAAGCAGACAATTAGCGCCTTGCAGTGTAATTTATAGCATCACTAAAATTTAAAGACCCTTTGAATCAGGGCCGGATTTACCAATAGGCTACGTAGGCTGTAGCCTAGGGCGCAACATTCTGAAGGGCGCAAAATCTTTGAGAATTTTTTTTTTTTAATTTAACGAGTCTTTTGTTACTTTCCATTTTCCAAAACCAACTTGCAAACGTAAACATACCTCAAAACTGTTTAAAATTGTGTTTTTTGAAAGGTGAATTTGAACATTTTCTTGATACCTAACATCCTCCTTCTGATCTGGAAGGGAGGGGCTCCTGGGGGACACCCCCCCCCCACGAGAGCGCCTACTTTTAAGGGCGCCACCTTAAGTTTAGCCTAGAGCGCTAAAAATGTAAATCCGGCCCTGCTTTGAATGACCAATTTTTAGCGGACCCAAACGGCTTTTGAATTACTCTTTCAATGAGCAAGATCTCCCTCCGAAGAGGATTTATGTAATACTACCGTAGGCTCTTAAATTAGGAAAAGAGGAGGAGGGAAAGGTATTTTGAGGAAAGATCCTTTAAGTATACATTTTTAAAATGATAAAGAGCTTCATTAACAAAGTACAAACTTTATTGTGCGAGGAATTTCACTAAATTTCTCCAAGATTTTACTAATTTCTGAGTTCTTTACTTAAAAAATGTGATCTTTTCTTTCAGCATCTTTCAAACGATTGACCTCATTTTTTAAATTTACGCAGGGCCTATATCCTTATGATCCTTGTTACCACGATGAAAGAAACCGCCACCCTTACTACCCTTTTTCTTGTTCTTCTTAGGCTTCAGAAATTTTTTTACATTCTTGGCTGAAAAAAAGAAATGAAGCACGTTATCAAAAGAATGCCATCTATTAAAACTTTTCGAAGGAGGATCAGCCATTGAGGGTTTGTGAGAGAGAGGTGAGCGTATTTTTTGGTGTAAGACTGTCAGTTTAGGGACAACTTTTGACTTACAACACCATTTCACACGTTGTGGTGAATATAATGATATAGGTACGAAACGCAAGAAGCTCAATGTTGGAAATCATTTAGTTTTATTAGTATGCATTGTTGTCAGATAGTGCTGAAAAAATCACTACTTTCCCCCATTTATACCCCACATAAAAAATTCACTTTCAAACGCTCAACCTGGCAACCGTTATAGTCATATAGTGCTGGAAATCGGCACTTTTTCTCTTTAAGACTCATGTAAAATATTCATATTTCTCACACAACCTGGCAACCGCTGGGCTTTTGTCAAATAGAGTTGAGAAATTGGCTTTTTCCCTAGGGTGTCCCATTTTGAACGTTTAAAAACAAATTGCGAAATCAATTTTTTTCTCAAACGACCAGTGGAAGAGTGGAAACAGGGGGTCTTAGAGGAAATGAGGGAGTGCAAACTCCTTGAAGGACTTTGGGAGGGTAGGGGAATTTCCACTATGCGGTTAGAGAAAAAAATTGGGAAATTAGGAAGCAGCATTCTTAGCGATCGGTGCCCGTCCAAAAAGACGGGGTGGGGAGGGGATCTAGGTGTCAGGGTGGGTAAAAATTCAGCACTGAGAACCCGCGATTTTGAAATGTTTGTTTCTTTTTGGTCCTCAGATCACGGTCAATGTTTGAACGTCGCATCCTGGTGCACAAACATGATGCCTAGAATTCCTAAGAAATGGGTCGTCAATAAGCGCAGATCTTAAAAGAATGAATGTCGGCACACTGTATGATCCCCTTCCATCTCTGAATACTGCAATTTAAATTTTACATATGTATTCCATGTGCAATATCCGAAAAAATGGCTCAAATCTAGGGAAACGCAGATTTTTATCGACTTTCACCGATGATATGTGGCAACGTCGCGCCGCGGTGGGAAGCTCTATAGATAAATACATGTACATAATAACTAGTAATGTGGTCATAACGTATGAAAATTCAAGGTTTGCTGAACTATGCTGAATGAGCTCAGTGAGGAACAGCCTCCGAATACTTAAATAGGTACTCGGTTTTTTGTGTTTTCAGGCGATAAAGTATGGCAACATCGGATTTTTTGGGAGGCTTTGAATCCAAAAACTTTTTTAGAGGAAGGATTTGACCACCTACGTACGTTGTTCGCCGAAATAGTTCAATTCTAGTGTAAGATGAGTCGCCTTTTTTAAACCAATTTAAAAAATGATGAAAAAGAAAAAAATTAAAAAAAAAAAAAAAAAAAAATTAAACGATGAGCGCAAAGTTGAATATCAATCAACGAAAATTGGCCAAAGTGACCCTCTTACACCTATAATGAACATACTTGAAGGACTTTTTGCTCCTCCGATGGGATCATTGTGAAACAGCGCGTCAAATGCCGCGACATTTAAGTCGAGCGACGGTCGAGCAGCGGTTTGAACACAAAATGCTAAAATCGCTGATTTTTGCATTGTGAGAGCTAAGAACGAGAGATTTCTGATCCTCGTGGGTCCAAGGTGTTATTTTTTTCTTAAAATGTAGTATCAGAAGTCTCATTGCCCGCATTTGTGACGTTCTAGCTCGATTGCAATTACCGAAAAAAAATCTGCAAAATCGCCAAAATCGCCATGATGAGAAATCGGTAAAACCACTTAAAAAACCTTGCGGGACCACTTAACCTTTAGCTAAGACCCCGAGATTTTTTTGTGATTTTTTTAACCACGAGACAACTTGTTGGCAAGTATCTCTGTTGGAATTCCCAATTTTTTTTTTTTTTTTTTTTTTAACGTTTAAAATGGGACACTCATAACTTTCCCCCATTTAAATCCATGAATAAATGGATGCACGATAAGCAGTTAGATGCAAATCTGAGGAGGTTAACCTGGTTCGTTTTTAGTATGATTTAGTCATAGAGAACATAGAGTCGTAAAAGGAATGGAGTAGCTGGCGCCACTTTAAGCATTTTCCAGTCACTGAATTCCACGACTCCTAAGCGGTGCCGGGTCACCATTTTCATACATAATTTATTGTTTTCGATACACGTCTGATGTAAACAAAGAGATGGTGAATTATTACGTATTATACATCGACATTTTGGATGGAAAATGTTTAAAAAAGGTGGCCGAATCTCGGCCCACATCAGACTCGGAACTCGTCAATGAGGACTCTACAGGGTGATCCAAAAGTCCCTTCCACCCCCTCTAACTTTTTACCTAATTGAGATAAAGATTTGAAACTTGGGGGATATTCCTACGTCAAAAGGAGCTACTTTTTGGCCACCCTAAAATTTTTAGGGGGGCCCCCCTTGGGGAGGGCAACGGCCCCCAACTTCTAATTTTCAAATGGAAAGACCCCCTTTGTGATAGCTCGTTCGAAAGAGCATAAAAAAAGATAACTTTTCGCGCAAACCCGAAGTCAATATCTTAAACCGTTTTAAAATGGCGGCCGATTAAAGTTCAAAATGGCCGAAAATTCACACCGGTTATTTGTCGATGGATTTGCGCGAAAATCGGCATGTAGGGGTATTTGGACACGAGGAAAACGAATTTGACGTTAGATTTTCAAAAAAACCAAAATTTCCAAAATGGCCGCCGGTTAAAGTTTAAAATGGCCGAAAATTTTCACCTCGGTTTTTTCCTGATGGATTTGCCTAAAACCCTGAAAATTTTAGGGGGGCCAAAAAGTAGCTCCCTTTGACCTAGGAATATCCCTCAAGTTTCAAATCTTTACCTCAATTAGGTAAAAAGTTAGAGGGGGTGGAAGGGACATTTGGATCACCCTGTATGTACTCTATTGATTTAGTAAAGAAGCGGGTAAAAATTGTCCTAGAGATCATAGGCTCGACATTAAAATCATTGAAAGCATGAAGTAATCCTTACGTCGAAGCGCGTTCGCGACCTTTCTTATCCCCGATGCTGCTGCCCCGGCCCATTCCACGCCTGCTTTGGCCACAGCGCGAAAAGCCTTCTGCCCTCTCCAACTTGATTTCACAACTGCGACGGCTTGCCTTCTTTTAAGAGCGTGGGATTCAGTGTATGACGATGGGTTACCGTTTCCAAACCCATTCATGGTATTTCGTTCCGATTCTCCGCTAAAACCATCTGGACTTTTCCTAATAATGTAAGTTGGACGCTCCATAGATACCTCTGCCGACTTTTGTGACTCTTCACTGATTGAGCCCATCATGTCGATTTTTGCCATTGCAGGCAATACGGGGCGGCAAGCAGTTCTAATTATCTAATATACAAAGATCATGTCATCAATGTCAGTTAAACAACAGTAGCGAGGCGTGAACGATCGACTATCGTTATTTCTCCATTTGAAGCTATGGTAAAGAATCGATTATTACGGTGTTCGTTGCGAACACCCTGTTTATCGATCCTTTTCTATAGGTTCAAATGACAAATCAATTGATTTATCGCAAAGCACGCCACGCCACTGTAAATCAATCAGTTCATCAATAAATCATTTCACATCAGTAACTTAGAAACTTTTACTGAATTTGCGTCTGGAGACCAATACTGCAGCCTGATTGTTGAAATTTTGTGGTTGTCGGATAGACATAGATGGCATAGGTTAAGGCGGTGCGTAATTGGTCGGCTATGTCTTATCGCTGCTTTATCGTGCCTTTGTCAGGTGGAATAGACGACATACTGTCGGAAACTTTAGAGGTGCTTTTAACTTGTCGAGAGTTCTACCCGACATTGGCACGATAAAGCAGCGATAAGACATAACCGACCAATCACGCTCCGCTTTTTAACATATGTCACCTATGTCTACCGGATAGACACAAAATTTCAACAATCAGGCTGCTGGGGACCGTAATCTGCCGCGTTACGGAAGAACGCCGTATGAGTCTTCAGACGTTGCCAAATTTCCTTTGACAAATCACGAATTGTCGGGAAAATTTGTTAATATTTTCCATCCAATATTTGGCCGAGTCTCGATTGTAATTTGATCTGAGCGGTCTGAAAATTCCAAGGAAAAATATCCATAACTTTCTTCAATTAGAAATATTTTTATAGGAAATTCGGCAACATTCGATAATGAGGGTTTTTTTTAAAGCACGGAAGTATTTAAAGCCGTTCCTCGTTGTGTTCCTCCCCTTGAGGTGACCTATTTGTTTTGAAATTTCCTCACACCTCCCTTACAGCTTGAAGAGGTCCTTAATAAAAATCAGAACAATTATAGTACAATTTTAGTTTTTTTTTTTTTTTTAATTCAAACTGAGAATTTGCAGGTGTTTAAAATCCCATGAATGTCATTAATCAATGGAAATTATTGACTGAACTAAGAAGTGTCCACGGCGACTGAGCTAATTAATCTACTACAATACATGTGATTTAATAGGGAATGCTGCCCTATGACGTCGCAAGGGGGTACAATTTTTACTTTAAAATAGGTTAGTCTCAAATTTCCTGAATTTAAAAAAAAAAAAAAAAAAAAAAAAAAAAAAAAACTGTAAAATTTAGTCAACGATCACATTCAAATGAAACAATGCGTTTTCCCCTTGCATATCGTACTTTATAATAATACTAAAAATGTGAAATCATAAGTGTAGGGTGTCACGCTAGCTCTAATGCCATGATAAGGAAGAACGCCGTATGAGCCATCAGGGGTTGCCAAGTTTACTTCAATAAAAACTGAATTAACGGGAAAAATTGGGAATATTTTTTTCCAAAATTTTCAGACAATTTTGTAGGCACTTTAAAATAAAATATCTGAAAATTTCAAGGAAAAATATGCAACTGGAAAAAAGCATCTCGCGTGCTGTTATGATAAACATGAAAAAGATGAAAAAGTATACCGAAACACGCATATTGTTGAATAAGGTTTAATGGCTTGGATGCATTTCGGGCTTAGCCCATCTTCAGCAAGCACTTAAAACGAAACACAGAAACAAATTAATCACAGTAAAGAATCGTCACAATGCATGATGGAGAAAAATATCGAGAGGCAAAGCGAACTAAAAACTTGGGAACTGGTCAAAAATTAAAATGTCGTGGAGAGTTGTCCGGAGGTTTTTTCGTCACAAAAGGGCTAAAACAAGGCTGCTGTTTGTCACCAACACTATTTAAGGTATACCTAGAGCACGTTTTAAAGGAATGGAAAAATAAGGTTGCGGGAATGGGCGTTCCACTCGTTGATGGGCAGACCCTTTATACTCTATGCTTTGCCGATGACCAGATCGTTGTAGCTCAAGATGAGGAAGATGCAGATTACATGACGCGGAAGTTGGTCGAAGAGTATATCGGAAATGGGGCATGGACGTTAGTGTGTCCAAGACAGAGAAGCTGGTCATGGGAGCAGCGCATCAACGGCAAAGCATAGAGCTTGAGGATGGACGGCGCATCGAAGAGTGTGACGAGTATAAGTATCTCGGTGTTTGGCTCGATCAGGATGGAAGGATGGACAGAGCAATTAAGGACAGGATCATCCAGGGCAGGAGAGCCATCGCGATGCTGAACGGGGTGCTCTGGGATCAGAGCATCTCAAAGGCAAACAAGCACCGGATATATGACGCCATCGTTAAAAGTATCGTGCTCTATGGTAGTGAAGTGTGGCCTTTGACGAAAAGAACGCAAGAAATGTTGAGGGCAACTGAAATGGATTTTTGGCGGCGATCTGCCGGCATTTCGAGACGGGACCGTGTCCGTAATGAGAGAATTCGCCAGGTGATGAAGGTTGAGAAAGATATCGTGCACGACGTCATGTCCAGGCAGTTATGCTGGTATGGACATGTGCAAAGAATGTCGGAGGAGAGGTTGCCCAAACAAGTTTTGGATTGGGTACCACCTGGGAAGAGGCGACGGGGACGTCCCGTAAAGGGTTGGCGGCAGGGCGTTGACGAAGAGATGTTGCGGTGTCAGTTGCCCGATAACCTCTGGGAAGACAGGCATATGTGGCGTTTGGGTGTCGTAGAACGCCAGAGTGCGTTATAAAGCGACTCTATATATATACTGGTCAAAAATGAAAAAATGTTAAAAGATGTTAAAAATGTTTAAAAACCAATGGAAATAGCTGATAGAGTTAGCATGAATGCATAAATGATAATGATGCATAATGATATGCATGAATGTCTTAAATAATACATGTTTTACCGTGGGAAATTTGGCAACTCTCAAATGTTCATACGGCGTTCTTCCATAGCAAGGTAGAGCTAATCATGCCGAGAGCCGATTTCTCCTTCCCTCCCCGCTGCCCTCTCGTACCCACTTTCCCTTAATTTAACTTAATTAGTACTGGTGAAAATTTAAATTTTGTACCTCTTCGAATCGAACTTAAGTTTCATCTTTTTCTTGTACCTATTTACAATGGCGAATAATAAATCCCTGGGTCAAAGTTTCGATCTAGTCGGCCTTCACATATATCGATCACTTTTCAGTCACAAGAAACTTTACGCTGCATTACCAAGATGTAAATCAAGACATGGTTTATAAAAATTCGAAAAAGGGGGTGGGAATAATTCGAATAATATTATTCATAGTATTACTTGACCGGTAACTTTTGATTTCTCAATTTATTTTCTCTATATATTAGACGCGCGAAGCGCTGGAGGGTTGGGCCGCAAGGCAGCAGGGGACTCAGCCGCCTGGTTTGTGGTTTCCCATTACTATTTAAAATGGCTGCATATGATTTGAATTATTTGGCGTTGGAAAAAATGACCATGGAGAGAATGATGATTCCACCAGAAAGCGTGGGGGGTTTTGCAAATATCGCATGGAGTTTTCTTTTTGATATCATTAACCCTATCCATCCGAAAATCATGATAATCGTTTGCATGGATCCAGCCACGGTGTAATGCAGTTGAATTTTAATGAAATATCGCTTAATTTAATTTTCATTCTCATTATTCACTGTTAAAAGCCTCCTCACATTTTCACTTAAACACTATGTTAAAATAAATATGCATGCCTATCTAGGCTGCCGCACTAAGGAAGAACGCCATATGAGCCGTAAGGCGTTGCCAAATTTCCTTCGAAAAACAAAGAATTTTCAGGAAAATTGGTTAATATTTCTCCTACAATTTTTTGGAGGATTTTGTTCAGAATTTGATCTAAAAAGTCTGAAAATTTCAAAGAAAAATATTCATAACTTTCTTCAAGAACGGATGTCTTCTGAGAGGAAATTTGGCAACGTTTGAATGCTCATACGGAATTCTTCCTTAGCACGGCAGTAGGAAAATGAGGAGCTCATGCTAAGGCTGTTCGAAAACGACCGTGAGGCAAATATCAGCGAGAAAAAGGACTAGGTAGTCATCATGAATAATCCAAATTTAGGGTTATATGAGGGAGAAGGCTTCCAGACACAAACTAAAACTCACGCATATGTTTAATCATCTAAATTTCACATACCATAAGACAGACACATTAAAATTCAAATTTTAGTGAGTGAGAGAAGAAATTAACACGTTATGCGTCTTCGTGCTAATTTTAACAGTTCGCGGTCAAGCGTCTTTTCTCTCATTGATCTTTCTCAGAAAGTGCTTCTTGAGCTTTTAAAATTGATTAGGAAAAACATCTATTGATTTTCTTAAAATGTAATGCTTGCGAACCTTCTATTGCGTTTGCCTATTATCTGCTTACTGTTAAAACATTTTTCAATACGTAAATTCGAAAAACATTAGTTACACTACCTGCATGACTAAAATCCAATGGCAACTTGTTACGGACAGTCCGGAATACATCTCTGAAAGGATTTCCCGAGAGCAGTGTTTACAGTGGTCCGGAGTAGGTACTGTAATAGCCTAGAAGTGTTCCAGGGTTTCAAGTCAAGTGATGATCTTCAATGCACAAGTGCAATTACAAATGCATAGTTGCAGCGCGCGCTATCAACTCAATATGATCGAAATCATATGACAGCCGAGTTAGTGGCTCTGATGTTAGTGACTATTGGCAAGCTCTTCTCAGAGTTAAAATTTACGTGAAAAAGTGTTCAGGAAACAACTGTACATCACTTTTTAGAGTTTTTTTCTCTTCATAGGCTTTTCAACATTTAGAGCATTAAAAACCACGGTGGATCTTTTAATATTTTTTAAAAAATACTTTTGAACTCAATTTCATCTCTCGTAAATTTTACGAAACATGTAACTGAAATTGTGTCTTCTTTTCGTGAGTAGATTTGAAGATATTTTTTGAGAGTCACAATTAATAGTTTGTTTATTTATTTGAAATTTAAATAGTCTCTGCTTCTGAAAGTATTTTTACGTACCTACTGAAAATAGTGCCCTTTCATTAAGCCTTTGTGTTGATTTTATAGAAATTTTGATTGTGATGAAAAAATCTGGGAAAATCAATTACGAAAAAGCTCAATTTTGAGACAAAAATATAACGAACTGTTAGGGGAGTGATGGGGGGGGGGGGCTACGCCCGCTTTTTATAATAAAATGATTTCTTTATAAATATTGATTGACTATAGTAAATTGATTATATTTTGAGGTTCAAAGTTGTGTAAAATTGGAGGGCTGTTCATCCAAATTTGTCAATTTTAACCAATTATTAAATTAAAAATTAAGAAAAAATCACGAAGAAGAAATTCCTGGGCCGATTTGCATTATTATTGTTTCCCTTTCCTAGAAAAGATACTCCCGAGCGGATTAGGTTGTTTATTCTTTTCCTTATTTCCCAGGAAGGGTAGGAAGTGGTGTTTATTCTTTCCCTCACTTCCCAGGAAGGGGAGGGGTCCGTTTTTCTTTCTTCTCCTGCTTGAAATCATGTTTTTTATATTCTTAGCTGTAACATAAGGAAAAAGAAAATCCAAATTACTTTTTTATTAGATTGACTGAGATCGACCTACTGAAACATATTCATTGAACAACTTAGAAATGACGCACAACTGATAAATGACAAAGGAGATTCGGAAAATTCCTGACGCCATAACTCGTTCAAATTGTCCGCATCTGTCTTGGAATGAACCAATCAAACATTGATTCAAATGTCGAAACATTCCTCGGTAGGCAAATTTTCGATTTTGACTAATCGTTGCGTGGCCTGTGCCAGAACAGAACTGAAGTGACAAGGCTACTCCGAGCAACGGTGGCGAGGCAAGCTTTGCGATATATCGATTGATCTGTCGATTAAACCTGTTGAAAAGGATCGATAAACAGGGTTTCGCAACGAATACCTCAATGGTCGATTCTTTACCACAGCTTCAAATGAGGAGATATCGAAAATCGATCATTCACACCTCGCCACTGCCGAGCAACCTTTCGTGCTCCCAATCCGCGCATATAGCCATCGCGGTTCTTGAAGGCGAACCCGATAGAATGAGAGACGCGCAGTTTAAAAACTAATTAACGTGTGTTTTTTGGCCTTTGTGCGGTCAGCCATTCTTCAATTTACGCATCGTTATTATCTAGGAGTAATGTAAAAATGTATTTCACGGAATATTCGCTGGTCACCGCGAAATGTGGCGCGCACAGTGGATCGAGTCCATACAGAGGTCGGACTTGAAATTTTTGACTAAAACTGCAAATTTTGATGTTTATTACGCCACATTTTAAATGAAAAGGGGTGTCTCTGAAAGAAAATGCCGCGAGGAATCCTATGGAGCCACTTTTAGAACCTCAAAGTTTTGTGTAAACGGAGTCATGAGCTTTCAAAGTCTCCAAATTTTGTTCAACCTCTCCTATTGACTCCACCTGTGGCGCCATGCGAGACGCACTGGTAAAACACTAATGAAGGGTTTGGAGAACAAGGCGCATAAGTGCATAGTTTTGCTATTCCGAGAAGTTGTTTGAAGTTTTGAAATTACATGGATTCTTACGGCGGAAAGAGAATTCAAACTAACTTTTTGATGCTTAAGAATATTTTGGGAGCGAAATTTTCACAGATGTATGCATTAAGACTAGCTTTGCTTGAAATCATTAATATCTCAATTGTTTCAAAAACCGCACTTATGCGCCTTGTTCTCTAGGCTCCAAGCCCCTCTAATGATGTTATAAACTTCTGAAATAAATCATTTTTAAGGCTGGCAGCAGTTTCTACAAACTCAAAAACATTTTTTCCAGAACGCCCGTTCTTCGTCCTGAAATTCTGAATTGCTACCTAAAGCTTAACTTTAGTGTAATTCATTCCAAAGGATGCAGAATTAAGACACATCTCAAGATACATTTTGTCCTGCTCCTCCACGTGAATATGTGAGCATATTGAAAAATTATTGTATAACAGCTTAAAGCCCAAGTAGCACAGCTTGCAGTACATTGCAAAAAAATGCAGTAAATTGCATGGTAAAGTTACTGCTATTTCATCCGAGTGTTGTGTATGTTGCCCATCTTTTAATTGAGGGAACACTTCTCATTAAAATTTTTTTGCAATAAAATAGAATTGAAATAAGTTGCAATTTTTCATTGGATTGCATATTCCCTATCCTTCTGACACGCACAAGGAGCTCATTTTGTCAGTTGTTTAAAATCGGCATTTATTGACCGAATGATGTAAAACAATTCGACGGTGAAACTACCAAACCATGTATCTCGGTTTGCGACGTCGCAGACTTCCTGTCATACTTTATTTTTTAAATAGAAAACCACTCAACGTCAGTTCGTGAAAACTTCAATGATTTTTCCTCTTTGTGCGGAGAAAAATCTGTGAAAGTTGTAAGGAGTGATATCGATTTGATCTCCTTCAAAAAAATAAAATGTGAGTGGAGATTTTTAAACACCGCAAACGAGATACGTGGTCTAGTAGTTTCGCCGTCGAATTGCAATTTCATGGTTAAAGAATTGCAATTTCATTGCAAAAAATCGAGATTTTATTTCAATATTTTCGTTGCTCTGTGCTACTTGGAAGTAAGAAAAATTGCACTTACGTCGGACCAAATGATTGAAGTGTATTAATCCCTCGGCTCCCGCCTTAACCCAATTAAGTACGGTTTTCACTGGGCTGATTGTTACAGCTTTCGCTACTTTGTAAGTTGTGCCGAGGCCGATGATTCTTCTCTCAATCTTATGCTTTTTTCCCCTCGCAATGAGACCAGCTACTTCTTCTTCCGTAGCACGGGACCCAGTTTCTTCGGCATTGTCAACGGTGTCATCGGGTTGTCTTCGTGCCATGTGAATTGGGCTATCTTCGGCAACATCATCTGAATCCTCTTCCATAGCTCGCCTTGGCTGGAGAACGATTGATTCAAAGTTCGTTTCTTCAGACGAGAGGGAATGCCATCGGTTTCCAATTATCTAAAACGTGGAATTCAGGCGACTTGAAAAAAAAAGGGAGGGGGAGAAGTCACACGTTCCTTTCTTTCTTCCTTTTTAAGCAAAAAATTGATTTTTTGAGATAAGTTAAACACAATATCCTTAGGATATTTTTTTTTTTTAATTTCTAAAATTTTAAGAAAATTTTCAAAAATCCAATATATCGCTTGCAGAAACCATTATCAACGGTGAAACTGCAAAAATACGTATCTGATCGGTATTGTGCTGTTTCGGAATCTTCGCGACTATATTATTTTTAAAAGGGGACCAAACCACATACCACGGCTTGAAGCCTCCACAGAAATATTCTTCGTAAAGAGAAGAAAAATCATTGAAATTTTCAAGAAATGACGTTCAGTAGTTGTCCATGAAGAAAATAAAGTATGACAGGAAGTATGAAACGCCACAAACCGAGATACGCATTTTTGTAGTTTCACTATCGTTATTTATTTCCAATTATTATTTCTGTTCACATTTCAAGAGGAGCTGAATTATTTTGGAAAAATTACTTCCTATTAAGATATTATAAAAAAATAAATTTAGAGAAAAGGAACACGGTGACAGTGATTCAACCTGGTTCTAATGAAAGAATTCACGCATTGATCAGTATCCAAGCAGCCACTTAATTTCCCCACAAAATAACCACGCGACTTCAGAGCTTTTCGCTAAACGCAACTAGAATACATTACAAATTCGTCAGTTTCTTTCTCAAGAATGTCTGAGGAAGGTGATAGTGCAGCGAGGAAGAAATAAAAAAAAAATATGCATCCTCCTCTTACCTGTACGGAAAAGATGGACAGCCAGGTTACTGATAACCCATAGATCATGTTTGCAGAATTAACTTGTAAAGAAGCAAAATATAACTCTAGAAAGCTTCGTACAAAAGGGGATTTCTATAGTACGCGCACTAATGTTTATCACGAACATTAGTTGAATTAGTGATATTAAACCTTCGCAATTTGTCAGAGTGAGTAGGAGATACTTGAATGCGTAAGTAGGGAAAACACTGATAAAAACACCATAATATACGTATTGGATTGGATCGGCTACATTTAACTGTCAAGAAACAGGAAATGGGCTAAAATGAAGCACAAAAGTCATGTGCGTAAGATGGGGTCGTGTATTTTTTAAAACTCGTTCACAATAAAACACGCAATATTATCGATTACACTGAAAATAAGAAAATAAGTAATGTCATGAATCATCAAGTACTTTTAATTATAATTGCCAAAATTGAGGATTGTGGAATCTTAAAATACAATCATTCGCGTTCATATGCGTGATAAAATCTTATAGAGAGGTTCTAATGAGGGATTGAAAGAAATTGAAAATCGCTGAGCCACGCATTGTTTCGACTCCGAGAGTGCAGAATGAGATATGGGAGAAAAATATGTGCGGCGCTTAAATTAGAGGGTTCCCCCACGCCATAAAACTTAGCCGTGACGACAGATCGAGAGTTGGATCTGTGCGTTAGGTAAGCTGATTAGACCACAAGGTTAATAAGAGATTCGGCCTACGAGACATTTTTAATTAGAGGGGGGGGGATCTCAGATCGGAAATTGTCCATGNGGGCTACCAATTGAAAATGATTTTTTAAGGAAAATTTTGGAGTCATTTGAGGGGAAGCTATAGACACTCTGAATTGGGTGGATCGTTTTTGCATCTTTTTCCAAAGTTAAGGTCGGGCAGTAAAAAGTTGGTGACCGTCCTGATAAAGTAACTTTTTTCGGATTTTGAAAATATTGATATCCGAGGGTCTCATCAGCATGATCCCCTCTCCCCGCCTTTTGGTACATTTTAGCATTCCCTACGACAGATTCTTAAATTTCGTAGAGGTGCGCAGTTTCTTTTATCTTTGTGGAAAAGACTAAGATAGTGACAAGTAGACTAGCGATGAGATTGGCAAATCCTATAAAAACGTTGAGCGAGGAGATGCCAGTCAGTCCACCTAGAAAAGAAGCAGAAAAAACTTTGTTAAATAAATAGATTTCTCTGCATTTTCAAAGCTTTAATTCAATGCTGCCTGATGAATTTCATTCAAAATCGGATTTTCCTCCACCTCCACCAAAAAAAAAAACAAAACAAAAAAAAAAAAAAAAACACTACCATGCTTTGCACGATATTTGATGATTTTGAAGGAAATTGACCATCCCGAGTTCTAAAAACATGTTGGTAGCTAAAGGAAGCTAATATATCGATAGCCAAAGTGTGAAACCACGTTTCTCTGTTTGCGACGCGCCAGACTTCCTGCATGTCATACTTTATTTTTTCCTTGGAAAGCTAGCTAACGTAAGTTTTGAAAACTTCTTTGATTTTTCCTCTCTGTTAAAGGAATATTCTGTATAAAGTTCGAGGCTTGTTTCTTGACAAAAAAATAAAATAGAAGTTGAAATATTGAAGCGCATCAAAAGATGTTTGTGGTTTTGCGGAGGTTTCGGTGGCGTGGCGTGAAATGCGATATATAGATTTGATCTGCCATTTAAACCTATAGAAAAGGATCGATAAAGAAGGTGTGCGCAACGAACACCTTAACAATCGATTCTTTACCACAGATTCAAATGAGGAAATATCGATATAATCGATCACTCACGCCATGCCACGGCTATAGGATTAATCCTCGCAGCTGCATCTCAGTTGACCTCAATATCCCAAAATCGTGGCTATCTGTTGGTCTGCTTTCTCAACCTCAATAATTTTTGGAAAAATTACCTGGGTAAAGTGGCATATATGCGGAGAATTTGCTCGATCACGATGGCGGAAAAAATGTTGGCCAAAATTAAGAACAAAACCAGCAGTCGGTCCTTTACTTTATCTGGTGATTTGAGATCGAACAACCTAAAAGAACATAAAAACAGAACCCTGATTTTGTAGATTTATTTAGAGATCGGGAAATTAAAAAAATCGCCATAGTTCGTGTTCAAAAAAGTCAATTGCCTCTACGTTTTGAAAAGATCGCTTATAGTATTAAAAAAGAAAGGTGAAGGAAGATTCAGCAGCGCATAGAGGTACATATTTTTACTGCTCGTAAAATTTAAAGATTTTTAGGGATTCAATTGCTAACTAATCTTAAACCACAGCAGCTACCAACAAACATTATTATTAATATAGACTTATCATCATACTTTTCGATGACGTCAGCCGGGAAGAACATGAGGTAGAGCATGAAAAGTAGCGCAAGGATCGTCGTGCCGATGAAGAGCCAGTCCTGGCTCATGGGGGCCCGATGCGGAGGACCGTGGAAGAAGACAAAAGCCAGCAGGACGTACTGGACGCTGGATATCACGAAAATGCCGTAGTTTCGGGAATGAGGGACAGCATAAAACGCGGCCATTTGGAACACACCCATGATCCCTAATTGAACCAGCAGAGACAGCAAGGGGCCGCGAGATAGCAGCGAGGTTTCAGGAGCATTCTTCACGAGGGCACCTGAGGCAAAATACAGTTAATTCTAATGATAAATCGAAAAATCGGATTTTTCCTCAAAAAACGAGTCCGTTAAAATAAAAGAAGAAAAAAATCCTAAAAATGAGTAGATGAAAGAATTGATAAAGTAATGAAAATGCAATTTCAAGATACGACAGCTAAAATTACATTCGATACTATGAATCACATGCCCAATATAATGATTTCGCTGTTTCTGACGAGGAAGTTTTTTTGATCAAATTGTAGTATTCATAAGCACACCATGCAATACGGATTAGTTTGTTTTGCGTCTCAGAGGACGGGATATTTTTCTAATCCGAGTGTCTGATTGGTCCAGTCCAACTGTTATCCTGCCCCTCAAGTAAATAATGACATTGAATTTTTTTTTTTTTTTTTTTTTTTATCAATTTACTTACCAATTTTCTGGAAAAGTGAATTTCTCCAAAATATTTTTCATATAGGCGGCGAAAAAATTGAGGCTTTAGTACATTCGGTTTGCCGGAGGATGGGAACGTGATGTAAAATCCGTTAAAAGTCGAACCTGAAGTCATTTTCGGCTTTAGCGTAAAAAAGGAGGTCTTCGCGCAAAACGTTTTCGAGTGCCAATTGGAGATCAGTGTGCCATCAAATTACTGCAGGCCGCGGTAGTTTGATAGAACAGCTCTAATTTATATTCGCAGAACCAATAAGAACCCTGACCTCGCTGACTTTGGCAGATTAAGTAATACCCAAGAAGCAGTGATCGCGATTAGTTGCGATCTGATCGGAGAGTGTATGTATCGCGATTTTATCGTATTCGATTTATTGCTGTTTTGTCGGATGAAAAATTCCGATTTCATAAAACTGGGGAAAGAAAAGAATAGACAAATGTCACATCAATCTGAGCGCATGAATCATCAGTTATTGGCCACCATGTACATTTATGTTGAATGGCGCCGTTCTCTGATGTGACATATGTCTAATCTTTCCTTACCCCAGTTCTAGCATATAGGTGCATTTGCAATAAAATCTCGATTTCATCAACGGCGCTTTGTTGCAATATCATCGAACAAAAAATCGCGATGAATTGAGATCAAATTTCGATTTTACAGAGATAAAATCGCCGAGGATCACTCAGTTGTTGATGATCCCAGCGATTTTACCGCCGAAAAATCGTAAAAAATGGCAACTCAATTTCAAAATGTCACGATTTTTCCGTTGAAAAATGCTACTCGTGTAGCTCAGTTTGATCGTGTAGTTGAACGTAACCTACCATAGGATGGCGGACCATGGCTCAAAAGGTAGGCGAAGACGGTTATGAGCCCCAGGTCAATGTACAGATACTGAAGGTCGGAAAAATTGGAGTCCTGGGAATAGAGGAGCATGACGCTGGTGAACTCGGTGAGGGAGTAGGCGGCCATGTACTTGAAGAGGCCGAAGGAGGTGGTGAGTGCGGCGCGACCCTCCTTGAGAACGGCCAGCACAGCGTGGACCCCCCGAGTCCGCGCCGTGAAAGCCGAGGCCGCCGACGCCTCTGCGTCCGAAAGGGAGATCCCGGCGTTGGCCGCCCCCAGGGCCCCGCAGTCGTTCGCCCCGTCGCCAACCATCCCTGAGGACAAGGATCAATAGTTATTGAAGATGAACATTCAGGGTCTCATTAGCGCTGTCTCCACTCGTCAAAACGACGTCAAAATGGAAGCTCAAAGTAAATCGATTCAACCGATAAGTGGCTCGAAGTCGGGACTTGATGCGATTGATGAGTGTTGCATCTCAAAATAGAGCGGCGAGACTCTTTTTTGATCAAAAATCGCGAGCAGATCGTATTTTCCGGTTCATTTTGAGCTTCCATTTTGTCACCATTTTGACGAGTGGACACAGGGCTATTCATGCACATTTCTAGGGTGGTTTCACGATAACTGGAATAGTTTTGCCGCCGTGACGGACAACACATTTTTCCGTCATATTTTTAGTAGTAATGATATTCAATCGAATTTTTTTTCATTAATCTACGCAGAGTTATGTGTTATAACGCTTTTCAACGATTTATCGCTCTACTTTTCAATTCTAATATATAAATGGCCGAAAATGTGCAGTCTGTTACCCTGACTTTTTACCGCGTAACAGACAGCACATTTTCGGAATTCACGTAATACTAATTGAGAAGTAGCGCCATAAATCATTAACTAGCGTTATAATACATGACCTTTTGAAGATTAATGCAAAAAAATTGAATGATTATCATTACTACTAAAAATATGACCAAAAAATGAGTTGTCTGTTACGGCGACAAAACTATTCAAGTTATCGTGAAACCACCCTCTAAAGCTGCTGCTTTTTAGGAGTCCTCAGAAAGGATTTCAGGGGAGCCCTTCAGATGTCCTTTGGGTGTCTTTCTAGTTTCTATGCCAACTCCCCACAAAAAGCTCCTAGCTCCGCTCAAGGTGCCGCTTAAAGCGCCTAGTCAATGAATCGACAATAATGAGGATGAATAATTACTACACGGAGAAAAAAAACTCGTGCGTGGGACCCGAAGTTTAGGTTATATGGATCTCTGAAGTTTTCAGATTGAACATCTGAACACTTTAGGTCTAGCTGCCGAGGTTCGGATCATACATCTGAAACTTCAGTTCTTAGATCTGAAGTACTTCAGATGTGAGAACCGAAGTACTTCGGATGTGAGAACCGAAGTACTTCAGATGTAAGAACTGAAGCTTCAGATGTGTGATCCGAACCTCGGCAGCTAGACCTAAAGTGTTCAGATGCTCAATCTGAAAACTTCAGAGATCCATATGACCTAAACTTCGGGTCCCACGCACGAGTGTTTTTCTCCGTGTAATCTGGCGCGTCAGATCGATCAGTTCTTTATCGTTGTGGGTCCATAGATTAGGCTCTTCAGCTTGAGCGGAGCTAGGAACTTTTTTAGAGCGCTCAGAAAGACATCCCACCGGAGGGAGCCAGGTGCAATCCCCCCAAAAAAACCCTCGAAGGACTCTTAAGGACTCTCTTCTTGGTAAGCTTTTCTTTTAATGATAAAAATATCACTGTGCATGAAAATTATGTTAAACAAGACGATTGTCAAGGAATCTGTCACACATCGGTTAGTAGCTTGTAAACATATGATTTTGAACTATTTATCGATTTTTGTTGTAAAATCAGACGCATACTTACCGCCCTCAAACCTACTCACTTACACGAGTTTACGTTAGGGTAAAAACTCATATATCTACGGTGTAAGTCGGCAATCACATAACTCGTTTGCGGTGTCTGAAAATCTCCGCTTGTATATTGTTTTTTTATGGAGAACAAATTGACACCATTCCTTGAAGTTTTTGTAGAATTTTCTTCGCATACCTAGAGAAGAAAAATCATGGCAGTTTTAAAGATTGGCCGTTGAGTAGTTTTCCGTTTAATAAATAAAGTATGATAGGAAGTCTACGACGTCGCAAACCGAATTATGTGACTGCCGATTTACACCGTCGATATGTTTCACTTTCACGTCAGAACGAGATTAAGTTCAGTGTCAACAATCAAAATTCGCCTTCATTTTTAGAGGATACCACAGAGAATACTGCAAAGCACGAACACGGATGATCGCCTGCTCTGTCTGCGTTTGCGCTCTCTCTGCCTGTCTCAAGGTAGGTAAAAGGGTTTATGTAGGTATATTTGATTAGAAAAAGTCCCTAAGAACAGTCCAAGATCTATTAAGCTTACGTACCCACACAAAATCCTTGAGCTTGGAGATCCTGTACGAGCTGTTGCTTCTGCCCTGGGCTCATGCGTGCGAATACTATTCCTTGATTGAGGATGTTGGAAACCAGTTCAGGAGCGTTTATCTTGATGTAACTCCACGTTTCTCCAGTTAGCGCCACGCACATTCTTTCCCAACAAAAAATCAAAGTCATATTATTAAGGAAGAGCCGCAAACATCTCCCGCTTGACGTAGAGACGTTTATTACGGGTGAATGTGAGAGTAATCTTGGTCTATTATGTACCAAAGTTCACGATAAATCTCCAATTCAAAAGTGCCTAGTCACAGCATCTGTTTTACCGAAATCAAGATTCAACGCTTTAATGACGAACAACAACAAAAATAAAAGTCAATCATTACAGTCTACAAAAGATTTCGGAGGAAAATTGTCAGATTTTTAGGGAGAGAAACACGAATATTTTTCTACGAGTGTCATGAACTTCGTTTCTTCAAGATTCAAATGGACTGGATACTCTTCACTTAACTGACGAGTCACGCCAGTAGCCACTACCCTTTTAAAGTCATATAATAAAACATGCAATTTGCGATAAGGGACTTAAGGCTGACGCGTATAAAACATGCATGATTATGGATTATTTGGTCCCATTACCTGTCCGTTCCATTTGACTTTTCTTCGCCCTCTATACGTAAATTCTCCACGATCTTCTCGTTGAAGTTGACCTGTGAAAATAAATGCGTTTGAGTTTACTCATGTGCCTTATTGATGCAATTTTCTTTTAAGCATTTTTTTCGATGTGCCGCATACTAAAATAAAACAAACATTCAGTGCGTCGCATTGTCAACATCGACGATTTCAAACTAGATATCTGGTAATAATTGCTGATGTGATGACCAGCCCTTAATAAAATCTTGAGCTGAAGAAAAAAAAAGAATTTTGGGTACCTCTCATGAACTAAGTTCAGTGATTATTTTGAAAATAGCATAATTCAACGCAAAACTGCAATTATTAACATGCGCACACGCTGTTCTTTGCTAAAGTAGAATCCCTATGCATTCTGCCGAGCTAAGGAAAAATGCCGTATGAACACTCGAGGGTTATAGGACATTTCGTCGACGATTTTTTGTCCGCGCGCCTGTTTTTTCCAATAATTTACGTCCACGCGTTTTTTCGGCACGGGAGTTTTGGTCCACGTGCCAGTTGAGACTCAAAGTTAAGTGTCCCACATGTAAATACAAACGACAATTGCTCACGACCTTTTTAGATGAAAATGTATAATGTCTTGGAGGAATGAGGGTTTACTTGTTTTTTTCTTTTGTCTGTTTGGTCCAACGGAGAATAATATATAGTTGAGAGTTTTGGTAAAAATGGGGGAGCGTCAATTCCATGCGACAAAATTCACTAAAACTCTCTACACCTCTTTGGTATGTAACAGGACTTAATTATCTTTCAAGAAATTCCCACCTTATTGTCTACCTGAACCGGATAAACCTCTATATTTGCCTCAGCTAAAGGCTCTTAGATTTTTCCTGTGTACGATAAGTATCTTGATTTATTTTGCAATGAAAGATCTGTAATTTTAAGGATGCCTGTCATTCTTAATACGTTCAATTTCGTATAATACTGTGCAACACCTCTGTTGCGAAATAGTTGCTTCAGGCGCCGCCGTACGGCGGGCGGGCGGCCATGGCGCCTACAAACCTAAGTGGATACTTCAAGCATTGTGCAATGCGTGAAGTATCCACTTAGGTTTGTAGGCGCCAGTGAGCCTCTCGCGCTGGCAGCACGCCGCTCCGCTCTGTTCGGCTTTAATATTTATACTCGTATAGTCAGCGTTTTTTAACTCATGATTTTGAACTATTTGCACACTCTGCATTGATTATTCTCATTTAAATTGATGGGAAAAAAATATGTATCAATTTATCAAAGGTGAATAATAATATAATGTGTGTTTTTTTTAAATATTGGTGGTTTCGTGTCAAATTTAATGATTTCCAAAGCACTTTAATTGTTTATTTTACATTTTGTGCGTTTATTGTACTGCAGCGAGTTGTACGCGCAACGAAACGCTCAAAATTTGACGTATTCGACTCTAAAAGATCGAGGCACAAATGGGTTATAAAACTAAAGATTGCGTGCTTCTCGGTTTTTTTCCCTCTTTTATTCATTATTGCAGTTTCTGTCGGCACAACTGCGGCTCATTAATATTAATGTCGCTTGGAAAAGGTTTTACAAATATTTGTCGCGTTTTAAAAATATAAATGTTTTCAAAATGAAGTAATAATTTCGTAAATAAAAAATTAAAAAATAAAAAAAAGTACCTTTACATATACAAGGTATATTGTACATTGAATATTTTAGGTATAGAAATAAAACCAAATATTCACCAATGACAATTTAAAAAGATGATTCAAAAGGAGAAAGTAATAACATTTCATTTAGAAAACGAACAACCATAACGACACCTCCCTCTCTCTCAATTTCTCATTCCATATTGTCAATATAATTTTACATACCGACTAAAATATAACACTTGGACCAAGTCACTGTTGCTTATTTTACGTGTGGGCATAAGCTACCGGACAAAAAAGGTGCGCGGACAGAAAATCGTTGACAAAATGTCCTGAAACCACATTCGAGAGTAGCCAAATTACCTCCGGTGAGATGTTTATCTTGGAGGAAGGTTAATTGTGAATATTTTTCTTTGACATTTACAGGAGATTTAGAGGAAATTGCAAACAAAACTACATGGAAAATTGAGAGAAAAATATCGATAAGTTTACCAAGAAATTCGTGTATTATCGAAGGAAATTTAGCAATGCCTGAAGGTTCATACGGCGTTTTTCCTTAGCACGGCAGCATTCTGGGTGAAGTTACGGTACGTCTATGGCATGATAATTTTGCGGCTCTCATTCGAAAAAATGAAGGAGGCGTGGTTTTTCGGCTGTAGTTCCAGAGACAAGAGACCCTCCACTAGTATCTTGGCCATGGTGGAAGCTTTTACTTTCGGGACTTCAGCATTCTACTGTTGACTTACCTATATGGTTGATGTTTAACAACGTGTTGACAGTTTCGTTTCGCAAACAAGCCGAAAATGGCCGAAGTTTAGGAAACTTGTTTGGCTCATGACGTCACCCGAAGCTCATCATTGACCATGTAGGTAGGTCAACAGCCGAAATTAGGGTGATGACTGTTGCCCCCTTATAATTGTCCATAAGGAACTGTTGAATCCCCGAAAGTAAAAGCTTCCACCTGTCGCCAAGAGGCCAGTGGAGGGTCTCTTGTCTCTGTGTAGTTCCTACAATTTTGACGATTTTGAAAGATATCGGACCAACGATGATAGGAGTATTAGCTTCTTTAGATTCTTACTGGATTAATGTCAATACCCGTGACGGCGGTAGGAGTGAGTGACGAATGAGCACAGGCAAGTGAACTGATTCGAATTTCTTGGATGGATTTGTCTGCTTGAATCATTTCGCAGTTTCTTGCGACACTCAAAGCTGTCTGTAGGTTGTCTCCTGGATAAAACAAAAAACTTATAAAATAAGAGTCGCAATACTCATGCGTTTTAAAATGTATTACTTTCGTTAACAAGGAAAATGCGTGTAAAAATTATATGAATTTATTTAAGTACCTTCACCTTTTTTTCTTTTTTTGCCCTACTAGCGGTGTAATACACGCTATCGCTAATTTTAACCAAACATACAAGAAGATGGGTAACCAAGGCTAAAATAACAACAAAGACAAAGTGTGAAGCGTTTCAGGGTAATATTAACCCCCTTCTCGAAAAGGAAACAAAAAATATATAAAATTATAAAAATTAATAATTAATTGCGTTCAGTTTTGCGAAAACTATCGTTTTTTCTCTAAGTTTCTAAGTTTTAGTTTTTCATTTTTAGTGTATATTAAGCGCCACCGAAAAAAAAAAATGAAGTTGTTTTAACATTTTGAATGTAAATAGTGTGCGAGCACTTACTAAATGCTGAATTAACTGCTGCAGTAGTTAATTTAGCAATGTCAAGATGTAAAACTAACTGCCGCAGCGGATAATTCAGCAATCTGTGAGTTCTCGCGCACTGTTTTTACATCCAGAATGTTAAATTGACTTCACTTTTTTTTCGGTGCGGCACTTAAGAAGCCCCATGCGAGGGGGGGGGGCGAAACACGTCTGCCATAAATGAAAAACAACTGATCAAATGCTCGTGAGTAACACAATTTTTACGTATAATCTACTGGTGGCATCAACTTTATTTAAAATTAAAACCCTTAGACCCCCATTTGTGATAACAAAAATTGATAGATTGGTTGATAGGACAAGAAACTGACTCGTTTTTGTTATCATGAATGGGGGTCTAAGGGTTTTGATTTTTATGATTTTATATATTTTTTGTTTTCTCGTCAAGCAAAGGGTTGAAACCGCCCCGAAACGTCCTAGGCTTTGAGTTTGTTGTATTTTAGCCTTTGTCATCCACACTGGAAAAAAACACATCGGATCTAGAGTCCATACTCTTAAAAACATCTACAAGAAAAAATACTCATGATTCAATCAGATGTAAGCTTAAATCAAGAATCAAGCCTCTTAATTTGAGCGGATTTCCTTTTGATTTAAGCTTAAATCTGATTGAATCAAGAGTCCTTTTTCTTGTCAATGTTTTCAAGAGTCTGGACTCTAGATCCAATGTGTTTTTTTTCCAGTGCAGTTGCTTGTGTTTTTTAGCTGAATTATTCAGGCTATTTCTGTGCATTTTTGTTTTCTAGTTTCATAGAGTTCAAAGTATATTTCTTTCTTATTTCCAAATAAAAAAAAATTATGAATAATGCTTGTGATGATTTATTGACAAAGAATGATTCTTGAAATTTTACCTGTGACCATAATAGTTCGGATGTTGGCATTATGCAGCTCTCGCATGACTTCCGAGCAGCCTGGCTTAAGTGGGTTTTCGAAAGCTATCAGACCGAGTGGATTCAAATTCCACTCCAGATCCTCTCGTTTTGTGGTTTTTATCTCAAACCAAGGCGCTTCGAGTTCTCTGTAAGCTATTGCGATGACCCGATACCCTTTTTGTGTGTAGTGCTGGAGAGTCACTTCGCAGTCCCTGGGAACTGAGACAAAACCCACACATTTCAATATCGATGGCTGAAGCGCTAAACCATCTTCATTGCGGTGTTTCAAAATTTCCGCTCCTATTTCATTTTTTCAAGGAGAATCGAGCCACCTTCATAGCTTGGAATTTTAACAGCATATTCTGCTGACGGAGGAGAAAAATCAAAGAGGTCTCAGGAAATTGTGCCGACTAGTTCTCCGAGGAAACAATAAAGTATGACAAGAAGTTTTCAAACGAAGATACGTGATTTCGCACTTTGGTATTCGATATATTATGACAGTTTAACTATTATTTGTAATTGCCGATTAATGCGAGGAGGTAAAAGTATTTTACATTCAGTAATATTGTTCGATAAAACTCACTTTTGAAACTTGAAGATTTGAGCTTTTGATGCCAAGAAATAAGTCCAATCGCTCTTTTTAGGGCGGTGCATTTGATAAGAAAAAGTTTTACAAATTTATTAATGACCTTATCGATGATACTTTGTGGCAATTTGATACTGCTCAGTGAAAAGTGACGTCACAAAATTTTTGCTCTCCCGATCAGTTGAAGGTAAAAGTCCGTTTTTAGCCAAATCGTAGTCAGGAATTTTTTCAGAAAACGTGGCTAGAGCCCCTTCTTTCCCTATCCTCGTCTCAGAAAACGAGTATTAACAATAATAATAATAATAATAATAAACCCAAACCACAAACAGCCCTCATACCTAGGAGCATTGTTTGCCCCTGTGTGAGGGCTTAAAGCAACCCAGCAAAGCTGGTGACAGCAGTGAGTATGAAAAACAATAATAATAATAAAAAAAAAAAAAAAACTGGAGGGCTTCATTCCCACACAACTTCGCGTCTTACAGATGTTATGCGTTATCCGTTACACGTTTATGGTTTTATTTTACACAGTGTACGAAAAATTGGATCAGCATAATGATGCAGTGATAACAATGAAGGAGACTTTTTTCAAATGGAAAACGCTTGAAAGAAAAATTCTATATATTTCAATCTAAAACAATACCAAACTTTAGTTTTCGCACCTAATTGAGGCTGGCATAAAGAAAATATGATTTCAGGTGCCCCTTTACAGTACACCGTAAACTTGCCGTCCGTCAGGTTTTGACAGACCACGCTCATTCGAGAAAGATCAGAGCTGAATGGCAGTTGTTTGACGACACCGACTGCTGTTCGTAATTCAGCCTAAAAAAAGAAAAGAGAAATTACCTTGATACAGGAAACACAGATTATTAGTTGCAAATATTTTGATGGAAAATCCAGGCAATGTGATGAGATAAAAATTGAAATGTTCTCAATTTATGATATTTTTCCGAGCATGATTAGTCTATTTTCGAATTATCTGATTTACGATAGTAATAAGCACCTTGTGGTCAAGGCACATATGAAAGAAATAAGATGTATTAAGAACAGCTCCGCTGTTTACTTAGAACTAGCGCATTTTCCTATTGGCTGCTGGGCCGTACACTTAATAAAGTTTGCGAATATATTTGTAGAGACATTTTCTCAAACACACAGATCCCTTTAATTCGGATCCAAACATTTTTTTCTGAATATTTTGAAACAAGATAAGTAGCCTCTTCTAATCCACAAAACAGGCGAAGGATTACTTAGGACGTCATTCACTATCATGGTGTCAGCAAGGCTCATTTTTAAGCATGGTATGAGCGACAGTGACACCGTGATTAGTTTCTGGGTTTGTTGCCGCCGTGATCATTAACACTATACTATGTTCCCGAGTAAGGAGTCTGGAGTCCGAACAGTTGCGCCCTCGATTTTCGCATTTAACGATGCGAACATAACATAATGCCTACATTCATAAACGTCAGACAGATGAAAAGCTAGGATTTTCCTTCATTTTCGCGTGATACCACGTCACATACTTGCACCAGGGTTCGAATATTTACGGGCTTGATTTACGCATTCAACGATGAGAGTATAATGCCTATACCCATACTGCTGTGGAAGAATGCCGTATGAACATTCAAGAGTTGCCAAATTTCCTTCGATAAAATGTTTATTTTTGAGGAAAGTTATGAACATTTTTTCTTGAAATTTTCAGGAACTTTAGCTGAAATTGCAAACAAAATAATCTGAAAAATTGAAAGAAAAATACGTAGTCATGAGTTTACCAAGAAATTCGTGTTTCATAAATGAAAATTTGGCAACGCCTGAAGGTTCACACGGCGTTCTTCCTTAGCACGGCAGCATAAACGCCAGTAATTTGAGACATGTGAAGAGCTAATATTTTCCTTCATTTTCGCGTGATATCGCATCACATACATGCTCTGGACTATATAGGACCCCTGCAAGGGGCTAAAGAATTGACTACCTGTCTTCTCGGGCGAAGCACACTGGTGATCGGAGGATCGAACTGGCTCTCATTATCGATCTTTGGCTCCTCTAAAATCCAATCGTTGCTCCGAAACATCTACAAAATAAGTACGAAGATTCTTCAGTAAACATGAGGATGGTTATGCACAATGACAAGCAGGACACCTGACCCACCATTTTGTATACCTTCTCCATATCTGAGACTTTCTTACAAGTAACAGTTTACGTATAAGACACAGTTTAACACAAAAGATCAGTGTAATGACTAAGAAAATTCTGCGTTACGGCAGAAAGAAAATATATCAAAAATAAGAAAAACTATAGTTTGATAGATTTATCCAAAGACAATTATCTGTATTGGATGCGACGCAGGTTCCTTTGTTTGGATTTGGTTATTGTTTATTCGTTCGCAATTTGGTGACATTTTTTAGCCCTAACAGAGAATTTCATCCGCATCATCTAAATAATTAATATATTATTTTCAAAAAATATAGATGAAATTAGGAAAATTGGACCACATTTTGCATTCGAGAACGACGATTTCTGGCTGAGATTAGGAACAACGTATGTACCATGAATTTCCCTATGCACATAAGTGTCTTTACGGATGATCCAGAAATTGTACTTTCTAATAAAATAATGTGCCGTCCAATTGGTAGAATTTTTAAAGCGAGGGAATAAGTTCGGCAATGGTTGTGGTTTCCATTCATAACTTGTCTTTACCTTTAAGTCGAGAGGGTCTCCCACCAATTCACCGTTTACAATCGTGAGTGAATGACAAGATGCCAATGCGGCTGATAAGTGAGAGTCGCATGGCACGGTTGATGGATCCCGTGTAGGTTGGCATATTTGGCCATTTTCGATTGGAACCACGCCCCACAGATCCAGAGTATCCTCAGTCAAGGTGCCGGTCTAAACCGAAGAGAGAATTTCAAAGTTAGCACGTGAAAATGAAACACACAATCAAAACTGAGTTCACAAGATTATCGATCGGCTCATTAACCATGTACCAGCTTCGCATTTTCACACGTTTTTTACAGGGCTATAGTGTGGTTTTTTGCTCTGAAAAATGTCGTAAAAAACCAAAGAGTTTCATTAAAAAGTTCGAATTAGAATCTCTCAAGAGAGGAAAAGCTTGAAAGCTCCGACCAATCAAAAGCCGGCATTCGAGTTGACGCGTACTCTAACGAGTCATCGGGAGGAATGTTATGGAAACTTAAAAACCTTATATCTTTGATAATACGGGCGTAAGCGTTTAAAATGGCTCCGTTGATTCTCTGGTGAAATTCCCTCTCAGAAGCACCCCTTATACTTCTACGGTGACGTAATGAACATGAAAATTTAAAATTTGAGTAAAATGTTTTATGTCCGACCTTTACCTACGTCTCGTGCAACTGTGTGACATGTCAAGGCGATGTCTGTAGCTGAGTTCAGCCAATCAGCAAGAGCCGTTTCTCACGCCTGGCTAACTCATCAGAGCCAGCCAAAAAATACGTTTTAAACTGGTCCCATTTTTGGCATTTTTAACATGGGGGTTCTTTGCCACACAAAGCTTAAAAAAGTCCGGAAAAATTCCTGGAAGCTTAGTCAGGGACAAGAGACCCTCCTCTCCACTCGTAACTCGCCTATGGTGAAAGATTTTATTTTCGGGACTTCAACATTAAACTGTTGACTTACCTACATGGTTGAAGTTCAACAACGTGTTGGCAATTTTGTTTGCAAACAAACCGAAAATGGCCGAAGTTTGGGAAACTTGCTTGGCTCATGACGCCACTCGAAGCTCATCATTCACCATGCAGGTAGGTCAACAGCCGGAAAAAGAGTTGCTCCCGTATAATTGTCCATGAGGAATTGTTGAGTCCCCGAGAGTAAAAGCTTCCACCTGTCGCCAAGAGGCTATTGGAGGGTCCTTGTCTCTGAGCTTAGTTCACCCCATACTTTCAACTAATGAATCTAAAAATGAACGGGTGCCGCTGACCTATCTCAGATACTTTTTTTCCAAAATGAAGAACTGGAGAGATTTTTTCGCTTAAATGCATGTTACTGAAAATGTGAGATGGAGCGTCAGATTTGAAATTGACGGAAAAGCATTGATGAAAAGTTGTATTTGTGCAGATTTACCTTGTCAAAACAGACGCAATCAATTCCGCCGGCGACGTTGATGGCTCTGGGCGAGAGGCAGAAGACGGCAGAACGGCGCTTTAGCCTGGCTTGTGCATGCATGCTGCCGACCGTCATGGCCGCCGGTAACGCGGGCGGTACCACGATCGTGATCAGATCCAATCCATAGAATATGGCATGAATCAGTGTGTGCTTACGTAGCTGTAACAGGACTTACATCCATCAATCTTTCGACGGCTCATAGTGGACTGAGCTAATGAGAGAGGTCGGACAAATTTTGGAAACTTTAAACGCTCATAACTCCGTTTATACAAGATTTTGCAGTTCTAAATGTGATTCCGTTGGTTTCCTCGTGGAATTTTCTTCAAGAGGCACCCCTCAAAGTTTAAAACGTGACGAAATAAACATAAACATTTGCAGTTTTAGTAAAAAATGTCATGGCTGACCTCTCTCATTGACTCGACCCACTGTGCGACGGCTAAGGAATAATACCGCCTAACTGACAATTTTGGAGAAAATATGTTCGTCACCTCTCGGAAGGAATATCACAACGAAATGTCCATGCGACATTAAAATATTTCCACCGCCATTTCATTTTTTCACAGAAAAATTGTTGGCTGACTCGGGTTGAATATTTCACTGCATTTTATCGGCAGCACAAAGAAAATTCAGAGAAATTTTTGGACACCTTTGTTGAACAACTTTTCTGTAAAAAAATAAAATGACGGCGAAAATTTTGAAACTTCGCATGGCGCGTGTGATACTTCGGCCGGAAGATGACGAGTTAGCGTTGCGACTTTGCCGCATTCCTTAGTGTTAAATACGGAAGTTGATTCTTCTACCTTTTTCTAATTGTGCATGCGAGCGTTGTAAAGACGCTGTAATGTTTGAAAAAAAAAAGAAAAAAATCCGACCACAAAAGAACAAAAATGGCAAAGATTCTTCTTTATCCTGCAAAATATTTAGTTTGCAGATAGGCAGTAATGTTCCTTAGCTATCGCTTTGCTTTTCCAATTTTCACGTAGGAAAATGAAATCCTATATGGGAAAATCCAACTCGTACTTCTGTACAGCAAATGCGCCGCATTACAGCAAATGCATCGCATTACAGTAAATGCATCGCATTACAGTAAATGCGCCGCATTACGGTAAATGCGCCGCATTACAGTAAATGCACGCAGCAAATTACTGAATAAATGCACTGCATTAACGTAAATGTACTGCATTGCAGTAAATTCATTGCGGTACAGTTTATGCATTACATTACAATGAATGCATACCATTTCAGGAAACAGTGGCGTAGCTATGAATTCTTTAAGGGAGGGGGGGTCCGTGACGGTCAATTTACATTATTTTGTGTACGTCTATGATAATATTTTATGTCTGCCCTCCAAAAGTAAAGAAGGTACAATTAACGAGGCTACGTGGAGGGGGGGGGGGTCCAGAATCCCTGGACCCCCGTCCCCTCCCTCCCCCCTTGTCTACGCTACTGACAGAAAATGCTGCATTACAATATGCAAGGCATTTCACTCAGGGCAATTCGCATGATCGTGTTGTGCTGCATATCTCTATTTTTTAAATATGTTTTTTTATTATAATTTTTTCCCGGCCATTGCGAGAGGAGGACTTACCTTGTCGTAGATAGTATAGACGAAGGCGATGGAAGCGACAGAAGCTAAGCAGGCGACGAACTTGTAACTGTCTTTTTCAAACTTGAAGTCGAGGGGTGGGGGGTAGAGGACGGCCCTGACGACGGCGCCCTTGGTCGTGGCAAAGCCCGTCCGAATGCAGACGGCCAAAACCTCCCCTTCACGACCGTTCTTCCGCGACTGGACTACCCTCGTCCCGCAGTACAGGGTGCTTCCGCTGTCCACCCTCTCATCGTAAATGTCCTCGCCCACCACCGCGCCCTCCCGCCATATAGCGGTCTTGGTGACCGGAACACTTTCGCCTGCACATGCCGTTAAAATCTCAGATTAACTGGACGTGTTTCTGCCAATCCAAACCAGAGACAGGTGGGGAAGAAGGGGTGTGCTCGTTAGTGGAGGGCTGTGAGAATGAATGGGATTTATAATGCGCCAGTGACGTCAGCGGTGATGGATTCGGTATCGGGATCGACGTTCGGAGTCTTTAATTCATGAGCCCTGCCGTCAACGCTCTTGTCACATGCTTATGGCTCAATACCCAAGGAGCAGTAATCGCGATAAGTTGTGCTTTAATCGGAGAATCTACGGACGTCGATTTGTTGGAATAGTATCGGATGAAAAATTGCGATAAGTTGCGATTTCATCAAACAACATCGAACAACTGCAGTTAGCAATAATTGCAGGAATACTTCACATATGCGCTAAACACAATGCGGTCGCTGGCCGGTGCGAAGAACATATTAGCGCCTACAAGAGTGCAGGAATACTTCACACATTGCGCCAAAAACGGTGCGTTGGCTTGTCGGCGAGGAACGCATATTTATCGCCTACAAAACTGTAGAAATACTTCATGCATTGCGCATTCACTACATTACGTGCTTAAAGCGTGGAAAATTCGTAATATCTCGGTGCCGGACCCACCGAGGTCCACACCATTTCCGACTAGTGTGTACCCCGAGTCTGCAATTGTGATTGCGATAACTTGCGATTTGATTGGAGAATGTATCGCGATATCGATGGCAATATGATCCGATAAATAATTGCGATTCCATCACTTAATTCGAAATAAAATGGCGAGTTTATCGACATCAATTAATAGCAATACTATCGAACGAAAAATCGTGATAAATTGAAAATTTCGATCTTATTAAACGCGATTTTATCGAGATAACACAGCGACAAGATCGAGGATAATCACTCAGATGTTGATGATTCTAGGGGTTTTATCGCCAGAAAATCGTGAAAAAATCGAAATTTTATTTCAAAATATAACGATTTTCCGCTAGAAAATGCTACTTGGGAGTGCTGCATTCAGTTGACACTCAGTTCCGTTTGGTAGAATAGAGTGTAAAATCCCGCTTTACCATTTCTTCAAAGGGCATCACGCCCACTTAATCATTCTTTCCTATGCACCTTTCTAGAGCACACCCCATCTTTTTCACTCGTTCGGTTCAGTGGCGAATCCAAAGTGAGTTGAATGGGGGGGGGGG